AATGTATATATATAATGTGTATATATATATATATAATGTATATATATAATGTATATATATATATATATATATATATATATATAGATATATATATATATAGATATATATATGTATGTATGTATGTTTATATATATGTATATATAAATATGTATATATATATATGTATATACATATATATATATATATATATATATAAAATCCTTTTCCTATGCTTAGTGGCCCCGACACTCGCACTGTCTAGCTCACTGTTCCTTGCTTGGTTACCGTAATTTTCAGACCTGAATATAAGCCGCAGGTGTCAACGTTGTAACATGGGATACAGTGATCCCTCTCCTTTCGTTACGTTCCAAAACCCACCGCAAAAAGGGAAAATCCGCGAAGCAGGGGCGAAATAGTTTTTATATTATTTATGTATATATTTACCTTTTACGAACAACCCTCCCTGGACTGTATTACCCTTTCCCACACAATTATATGGACAGTAGAGTTGTATAATGGAAATATAAGGCATACATATTATGTAAATAAATGAAATACACGAAACGGCAGAGGTTAGCACTCAGCTGCAGAAGAGAGAGCACGGGAGTGGCGACGCAGGTGCAGCCGGGGCAGAGGAGAGTGAACAGAGAAGTGCATACTGGCCAAGACGGACAGACCGTATATGAAAGCCGGGCACAGCGCAGGAGCTCATGTTATTGTAAAGACAAATATAGGCGGTTAACTGTTATCTGTGTCTTCATTTTCGCTTAGTAGCAGAAGCCTGAGAAGATGATCAGAGCGTTTAGGAGGCATCGTAGGGCATTAAATTAGGGTCAACCTTCACCAAACACAAGAGCACAAACTTCACAGCAACATACTTCACGTTTAACGGCACAGAGCAAAGTGAAGCAAATGGTGCCCTTAAGTGAACTGATTTCATGAGAGGATTCAATGCTTCATGAAGCGTTGTCTGAATGTAAAATGTCCAGCCAGGTCTATTACTTCTCAGACAATCAAAAGCACGAGAGCAGGGGTCGGGAACCTGTGGTTTGCGAGCCAGATGTGGCTCTTTTGATGTGGCTTCATCTGGCTCTCAGATAAATCTTAGTTGGAATTTCTTAAAACAATAAGGAATGAACAATTCCACTGGTATTCAAGTAAAACATAACAGAAATCATAGTGTTAAAATAATCTTTGAAAAAACATTCTAGTGCATTTGTGGCAGCAGTGTACTCTCTTTACGTTGTATTAAAAAATTGCAGTAAAATCACCAGCTAGGTATGTAGTCTTTCATTTCTGGCATAAAAAGTGAAAACAAAGTATTTTGTAGCAAGACACACATATCTCGCACTGGAAATATAAAATTAAATAATAAAATTAATTAATGACTCCTAACATGTGCACTTACCATGAGGTTAGGGGTGCACAACCTTAATCCGCAGGGGTGTTATATTAAATGACCATATGATATTGTATTGAATTAATTATTGAATTAAGATTTTTCTTACGTGGTGTGTAATAAACTGTATTGTATGGCAAGTGGAACCATATATTTATTACTCCGTTACACATTTTAATCTATACATTATTTCTTTTTGAGCTTGAGCCAATCGCATCAAAACCATGCTGTACCAGAAGTCGCATTAATGGTAAGAAATATTTTATGTATTGGAAAGCTTCAGTATAACAACGTTATTAAAAAAGGGGACTAATTATACTCTAAAATTATTGGTCTTGTTTAAAAATTTACAAATTTTGTTTGTCTGAGCAAAACAAACGGAAATAGATTTTAAAATAGACTTTTTTTGACTCTTTCTGCTAAAGATGTTCCCAACACCTGCACCAGATAATTAAAGACAACACGATCCTCTTTCGAAGACAGGCATGTCTACATGCTCTTGTGAGGAAAAAAAACGTTTAAAAGAGGAGTGAAGGAAGCCATCTATGCCAACCTAGAGAAACTATCAGGTCAGGTAATTTTGCAGGATTCAAAACAAAATCTTCCAATGTTGCACAAAATGGAACTGTTACAATTATAACAAAAAATGTCAAAAGACATATTTACTCAAAAGTGAATCAGTATATGCTGTGATGCTAATAAAAAAACTCTGAAAAGTCTATGTTCTGACACTCAGAACTCACTTCCAGGCTGAACTCTGAAAAGTCTATGTTCTGACACTCACTTCCGGGCTGATCATCACTAATTTGTAATTACCTGGCTTTGTGGCTCCACCACTGTCTGCAGCTTAGCTGCTTGTGTTGCAGGCGGCAAGGTGATGTCTGCCTTCTGGTCGGCATGACGACGCTCCTTGCGGGGCTTCTTGGTCTTAGCGTGTGAGAGGCCTCTTTGCCGGAATGAGGGCTGAGGACTAACCGGTCTCCGCTCACTTCTGTCGTCCTCCTCTCTGTAAAAGAAGTCAAAGGAGGGCCATACGAGAGAGGTGTATCTTTACAAATTGTCCAACAGTATTGCAGCCGTGCTCAACCAACACAAGCATCACTGTAGAAAAACCTAGAAAACCTATGTTTACACTCAATACACACCTAGAAAATCCATGTTTACACTTAATAAACACCTGAGGATACAACACAAACATTGATTTTCATGATATCTTGATCAGTCTGACAATTAATTGAACAAAGATAAAATTTCTCTAGGTTTTAATTAGTCTACCTTTAAAATGCATTTTGTTGCAATTTTTGTTGATTGTTGCTTTAGAACCAAAAGTAAAACTTTTGAATCTGAAAGACGGATTTTAAATGAACTAATAATATCTCTGAACTACTAGTACCATCACTAAGTTACATGTCTTTTACTAAAGACACTTACTGATTCTTACTAGCCTTGTGTATGTTTTAAGCTGTATTTTTTCGATAAACATGTATTTTAAAAACTTCATTTTGTTAGGAAACATTGAATTAATTTGATTGATTTGAATAATGATGAAATAAGATACATTAATATAAATACTATTTAGCCTAGACGCACTGTACATAACAAATTTGGTTAACTGTGTGCTTGTATAAATGTGCGAAACTTTGTGTGAAAATAACCGTATATGTATATACAGTGACAGGTGTGTGTGTGTTACATATGTCGTTTATGCGGGGTTAATTTGGGTTTACTCTCTACCTGTGTGTTTGCTAACAGCTAGCTCCCTTTAGCTGCTGCCAATATGACGGTGGTGGCGAACACTTATTTTGCCTGTGACCGGGCAACATCTGTGATGTTTAAGGCGGGAACGCGGCCTCACTTCAACCCAAGATTAAGTTTTGTGGTAAATTTGAGGGTACCAGTGCTCGGAAAACAGGCTAAAAGCTGAGCTCGGGTCACGGCAGCCCGAGAATAAACACTTAGCAGTTAGTTGGTGACGTATTCCTTCTAACCCCGCTCCGCCGCGACAGGCCGCGGAGAAAACCAACGCACTTTATTTGGAATAAAACAAACGTAGAGGGAAAACACTGCGAGGTGACAGCAGAGAGACGGACATCGCGTTAGCGAATGAAACATGTAAAATTTCGCACTTACAATCTCTCCTGTCCGCTCTCCACGGCGGCCATTTTTATTTAAATAAATAATTTTATATAAAAAGCCCCCAAACATCTCTGCTCACGCTGTTGCACCCGCCCCCTCCGGTTCTACTTTCCAGCCGCCGTCACTCTTCAAACAACGCGAGATTGGGGTTAGGTTGACAGCCACTTTTGCAAAGCAGAGTAGTGTAATCACGCGAGACCTGGTAGTCTCGAGACTGTCAAACTGAGGCCTATGGAGTCAAATCGAAAAAAAGAGGTCAGTTGTTAAAAGAGACACACTTTCCTGTACAAAATGATTTCGAGAATAGGCTATATTTAAACAGTTACATATTGTAAAACGTTTTATTTACTATTAATTAAAACTCCACCAGCATTAAAATATCTTTCCACATAAACGGTAACAATATACATACATATCAACCTCCAACACACGTACAACTCAGTTCTTCCGCTGACAAGCTGACTGACAATTATCAAATGGATTCCAAGGGACTGTACACAGTGCCACTGACATTTTGAAAGCAACTCTTGGCACATTTGACAAGACACAGTTATGATGCACACTAATGCAAAATAAATCCACAAACTCTATGAAGTAAAGTTTTGGGTTTTATGTTTGAATATCATAACCTTTTAAAAAATAATGTCCTATGTCATTTTTTGGCAAAAAATATTTTTTGAATAAATCATCTGGTTATGGTGCTGGCCACCTCTGGCAATAACCTTTTAAAAAATAATGTCCTATGTTGCTTAACGGCTTACGTCCGCAGTTGAATAGACCATGGGATTTTAGCCCTGTAAGACAATTACCTATGACCTATTACCTAGAAAATGTCTTTTAATGGAGAAAATGCAATATAGAAAATTTTTATTTTTATTTTTCTGACCCTCACCCTCTTAAGTTTTTTGTTTTCTGACCTCAGAATAAACTGTGAGAACAATAACAAATTCTTCTGGATTACAATGTTACATCCACTGGTACAAAACAGGTTTTGGACAATTCACTGTCTAATCTGGTACAAAGCAGATTTAATCTGTGTTTAATCGTTGTTGTAAAATGTCCTACAGGAAAAAAGCAGAACTAAAGTCATTTCAACAATATTTCCTAGTTTCAACAATATTTATTGTCATTTTCAATGCAGTAAACAATTTACTATATATGTGTATAAACAAAGCCAAATAACATTTTTTTAACGAGAATTAAAATTAAAGAGCCCCCAGACTATTGAATTCTAAAGAGTCTACTTTTGAAATAAAAGTCTTCAGAAAATTATATATACTTTTCTTAACGAGAAAAATAGGCATGTGACTGCTCTAACAGCAATTCTTTTTTTCCCCCCACATCTCGTCTCCTCAAGTAATGTCCTAGTAACAGCGTTTAAGCGCTCCTTTTCAGCTGTCCCCTCTAACATTTAGCGCATAGCAACGTGCAAACCAATGTTCAATGGAGATCATGGATTTTGAGGCCGCGTAAAAAATGTTTTAGTGATGGTACAGCACTGTATGACAGATGTAACCGTTGATGTTGTACCCCTTCATTTAGACTCTAAAATTTCAAGTCTAAATGAATATTGGGTTATTTTGCGTGCCCTCAGCTTGGACTTCAGAGGGTAACTTTGCTCAAAAGACCTGTGCTTCGTTTCGACGGCGCTTCACGTTGCTACTGTTAATTAATATCCAATTTTTTGGATCATGTGAACTGCTGACCAGAAACAACAAAGTAAGAATTTAATTATGCTGTTTGAATCACTGTGTTTTCACAATGTAAATGACACAACAATCATGTCAGCTGACTTCTCATGCATAGGTTGCTGCTGTGCATTAACTCTCCTGACACTCTGCCACTAGGTCAGCATATGACGGTGGAAGAAATGCTATTAAGAAAGTTGTTCGTTTGGCTAGGTTATCGCTTTAATAATCCCACATTTATCTATTTTATTATGCTCCTTTTTTAATTTAAGAAGTCGGGGTACCGAAACTTGAAGAGCTGTGGTAACAGAGAATGGCACTGCTCCATCTTTCAGTTATATATTTACTGGAGTTGTCCTCAGAAGCCCCATTGACTCACTGGGTGTGCTTGTCAGATTCTCCACTCTTTAGATGAGACCCATGAGCACTGAAACTTAAGACTTAGACTAAACTTACTTAATTTGTCATTTGGATTTTCATGAAATTGAAATTAAATTACAAATTAAATTACAATTACAACAAGAATAAATATATGTAAAATAAATATGTATGTGCAGGAAAATAATTACACAATATTAATTTATAAGATAAATTAAATGTATTGCACATATACAGTAAGTGGAATTGCACAAGTTAACGGCAGTATTGCACAGGTGCAAAGTATTTAGTAGAAGTATGACAGAGAGTCTTAAGTGTATTCAACACTCTATGGAGTGTGGGATGAAGCTGTTTCTGAGCCTGGCTGTTTTGCAAAACCTCCTTCCAGAGGCCAGCGGTGAGAACAGTCCATGGTGGGGTTGGAAGGAGTCAGACAACGTTTCTTTTCTAAGTCCTAGAAGGGAGAAATCATGATTTTCTCTGCTGTCCTCACCACCCTCTGTATGGATTTCCATTCCATGGCCCTACAGGGCCCTGACCAGACTGAGATGCAGCTGGTCAGAATGGTCTCTACAGACTTCTGTAGAAGGTTAGAATGGGAGCGGGTAGATGCATTCTCCTCATGCTGCGCAGAGTGCTTGCACTGTTTGGCCCTCTTGACAATTGTGCCTGTGTGTTCCATCCGGTTCAAAAAGTCAGTTATCTGCAACCCCAGGAACCTGGTGCTGCTGACTATCTCCACTGCTGAGTTGTTTATGGCGAGAGGAATGTGGCTGGTTCCTCCCGAAGTCCACAATGATCTCCTTTGTTTTGGAGATGTTCAGGATCGAATTGTTCATTTCACACCAGTCGTTTCACCTTCTCTTTGGAGGCCTGCTCATTAGTGTTCCTGGTGAGTCCCACTACTGCTGAGTTGTCTGCAAACTTCACAATGGGGTTGGTGGGGGACACGGCACTTCTCTGCTAAGCAGATTATTGACTGGGGGACCTTCAACAACATGTCATCGAAACAATATGTTGTCCCTTTTCTCTAAGTGGAGAGTTTGAATTTACCTTCATTTCTGAGCCTGCCACCTGGACAAATTCATGCTGGCTGTGAATGCTCCTGCTGCGGCAATGTCTTGAATGTGTCATAGGTGTGTTGAGAAATAACACTGATGTCAGCTCTACTGTCTTTTTTGCACTCAACATCACTGTACTGTGTACAAAATGTGAAGGAGAATGGGTGGGTTAAACTGGTATAAATTAGTATTAGTATAATCATTGTGAAGTGTTTCCTATGTAACTAAATTATAAATTCATTCCTTCGTTAAATATTTTTTATTGCCCCTCTCTTCCCCTCCCCCTGAATTGAAAGACTATTGAGAACCAGTCTAGTCCACCGTGCCGCATTCCATTGGAAGACCCTCCCTCGCACTTCACCGGGCCCAACCCACTACTTGAAAAGTACTGCGCTATACAGAGACGAACGCCAGCAGGACGTTACGGCAAATTAAATTGAACAAAATTTACTTTACGTTTGGCACGTAAAATGAACCCGTCATTTAGATAATATACGTATTCTTCCAATTAGTGATGGGAAGACCGACACTTTTTATTGATTCGAATCTTTGACTCTCGAACAGTAAAATGAACGAGTCGTGAACGAATCTTGAACTAATCATTTCATTCGTTTTACAGCAGGTGGCGCTTTAGCCCTATTGTGGGCGTTGTAAAGAAGGCTGCGGTTCTCCGACACTAAATAAGGCAACATGGTTTGCTTCCGCTGACAAAGTCTACAAAGTACACAAAATGCCATAAGTAATTAAAACCATGTAAAAAGCTAAGAAATAAAAACACACCACAATGTGAAGATGAATGAGCGCAAAAAAGACCCGAGCTCTTTCACGTGACAAATGAAACGAATCTGCGAGAACGAGGCGAAAGATTAGTTCACAGAGAATGATCCGTTTAGAGTGATTAGTTCACAGCAAAAGATTAGTTCACGGCGAAAGATTAGTTCACAGAGAATGATTCGTTCACGGCGAAAGATTAGTTCACAGAGAATGATTCGTTCACAGCGAAATATTAGTTCACGGCGAAAGATTAGTTCACAGAGAATGATTCGTTCACAGCGAAATATTAGTTCACGGCGAAAGATTAGTTCACAGAGAATGATTCGTTCACAGCGAAATATTAGTTCACGGCGAAAGATTAGTTCACAGAGAATGATTCGTTCACAGCGAAATATTAGTTCACGGCGAAAGATTAGTTCACAGAGAATGATTCGTTCACAGCGAAAGATTAGTTCACAACGAAAGATTAGTTTACAGAGAGTGATTCGTTTGCAATGAAAGATTAGTTCACAGTGAAAGATTAGTTCGCAGAGTGATTTGTTCGCAGTGAGTGATTAGTTCGCATTTAATATGACTCGGTAGTCACGAGTCACGAATCTTTCATATGACTCGGGAGTCACGTGTCATCTTTCGCGAGTGATTCGTTCACAATGAACGAATCACTCGCGAACGACACATCACTACTTCCAATCATTATGTAGTACCCTGGGCGACATGTGAACACGACGCGTGTGTTTGATCGTTTAAAGGGCTTGGTTGCTAACCTTGCTAGACGAATTGAACAAGGTCACACAAGTACATGGATGTACTACGTACTTCTACTTAGTTTGGTAGCCTGTTCGCTTAAGCTGTGAATATGTCTGAAGCAGACCCGGATGCATATTTTCTGTCAGGAGACCCGGGTTCAAGAACAGAGAGACAGATTTTGCTCCACTCTCTTCCTGCCTCAGTTATGTGGAAATTCTGCACAGTCATGGACGGACTTTCAGAACTGGACTGGAGCCGCTTTGGTGAGCTGGTGTTGGGAGTCTATGCTAACGGCTAACGGGGTGCTTGTTTACCTAAGTTGGTGTTGGGAGACTGACTATGCTAACAACTAACTAAAGACAAACAACAACTGATGTTGTTGTTTGTCTTTATTTTTATTGGTTTAAATGTTTTTTTAATTAATTTAGCTGCTTAATCTTTTTGAATTGTGTACCTGTTAATGTATGTTCCTCTGTTTTTCCTTCCTATTTTTGTGTCCGAGTACCTGTTTGTTCACGTCTGTCTTTCGATTGACCCTTACCTTCTTTTTGTTTACCCATTTAACTGTTTCTATCAGTCTGTTTGCTTTATATTGACAACTTTATTAGGTATTTGGCTTCTTCATAGTTGATTTTAGCTAACCCTTAGCCGCTGTGCTGCTTTCGTTTGTATGGTCTGTCTTTTAGATCATATTCAACACGTTTACTCTTAACTACCTCCACTTCTTTTACAAAATCTAAAAATCTGCTCTGAGGCCTTCCTCTTCTTTTGCCTGACCATCCCACCTCTATCATCCTTTGTTCAATGTATCCCCAACTCATGTCAAAACTGTCTGAACCTTTCCTTTCTAATCTGCAAACTGCTTCACCATAACTGTCCCTCTGATGTGCTCATTTTTTTGTCCATCCTGGTCACTCCCAGTGAAACATCTTCATCCCTGCCTCCTCCAACTCAGCAGTTTGTCTTAAACCATACATCAGAACATGTCTCACTACTATCTTACAACTTTTCCCTTTTCAATGTTCTTGCTATTCTTCCGACACAAATCATCCATGATGCTTGTTTCTAGCCATTCCACTCTGCTGTGCCTTTTTGAACCTCTTTTGTGTACTGCCCATTACTCTGGATGGTTGACCCTAGATATTTTAACACCTCTATTACGTTTTCTCTCTGGATCTTTACTGTTCCAGCCGCCACTCTGCTGTGCCTTTTTGAACCTCTATTACGTTTTCTCTTTGGATCTTTACTGTTCCAGCCACCTTACTTTTGTTTATAAACATATAGTACGTCTTTTTCCTGTTCACCTGCATACCTAACACCTTCCGGCCAGTTTCCCTGACCACCTTAATGGTCTTTCCCCAGTCTTCTGGTAGTTCGTCTTTACCCCCAAGATCATCCCTCAACCCAACTCTAAACTCTCTGCAAAGTTGCAAAGTTGCTAAATGATCCGCACCCTCGACTGAAGAAATCAGCTACCGTTGCAGAACTTTGTCTTCGCTATCCCAGAGATCTACAACAAATGCTGTAGCGAGGTTCAAGTTGAAATGGTCAAGTTTCATTCAACCACAGACTTGGTGGTCAAGCAGGACCATAGAACCTTACTTAAGCCTGGCTGTTCACGTTATCGACAATGACTTTGAGCTTAAAAACAGCTGCTTGCAAACACAACATTTCCTCCACAGAAATGCCTTTAAGTTGTCTCAATTTGAACTATGCAAAAATGCTTCTATTATTTTATTTTAGGTTTACCAAAATGCCAACTGAATAGTCCTAAAGTGTACATTTGTGCTACTGCTTTTGCACTTTATGCCAACTGAATAGTCCTAAAGTGTACAATTGTGCTTTTGCACTTTGCAGAAATGACCTTGTTCTAAGAAATATCTTTATTTTCACTTTTGTTTTTTATATATTAAGTTATAAATAAAACCAGTATGTGAACTACAGGTTTTTTGTGTCATCAGCTATTATTATTCTCTGTGTTGTCCTTCATATTAGCAAGTAGACCCCTGACATCATTCATTTATATCGTAAACACGTGTCCACTGTGATCCCAATCGCACATTTTCATCAAATTGTGCAGCGCTGTTGGGGACATGAAAATACTTATTTACCATTCTCGTTTATTTTAGCATCAGAGGTTCTGGGTGATCAGCTGACACTACGATTGGCTGAAAAGCAGGAGAGGCGGAGTGACTTTGTAATGAACCACTGGGGAAACCGGAATGGTCAACTTGGAGAGCTAATGGATCTGCTGAAACGTCTGCGGTTGCTCCGCCCTCTTGATGTCATCCAATCCTGTGAGTTAACCACTATAAAATTTATTGACCTGTGACAATCTCACATTTTGGCTTGTACTTATGGTTATTGTGTGTCTGCAGATTTGTCCAGTCTGACCCCTGTATTTTCACCGCCTCCTGCTTGCCATCAGCATCATCTCTCTGTGGCTCCCAAAACAAGTCAGGCCACACCCACTGTCAGCACCTGCAGACTTAGGCCAACAGGTATGCCCATCAGCTTTTAGATTACTGACTATTACCCAGGTGTTGCTATAAACCTAAATGTAAATATAACTCAAAATGTTTGGCTCTGTGTGTCTTTTTTCAGAAAATAAAGAAGGAGGAAGAAAGCTTTTGCCTGGACCTGCACCACCACCTTCTGGCATGCTGTCAGAGCTTTGCACACCTCCCCAGGTAGTACACTTTAGTGTTTATCTAGCTGTACATTATTAAAAATAAACAAAAAATTATTAATAATAAATCATAACATTTTTGTTTTCTTGTGCCCGTCTGTAAGAATATCATGACAAGTAGCAGCAAGAGTATTGATGGCATTGGCACTAGGGTGATGTCCTGGTCTTTTGAAGAAGTGCATGCTGGGACACAGGGGTTTTCCCCATCCCTGCAGGTTGGCGAGGGAGGGTTTGGTGTGGTGTACAGAGCTGCTCTGAGAAACATGGATTGTGCTGTCAAGAGACTCAAACAGGTTGGCCGATCACAGGGCAGATCTTTGTTTACTTAAGACTGAGTTACAGAAAACAGTATTTTATTGCTGTTGTGTTTGTGATGTTGTTGTAAACATTTCTGCGGTTGTTTTAGGACTTTATACTGGACTGGATGCAGCTTAAGGAAACATTTCACACAGAGGTGGACAAACTGTCAAAGTGAGTGGTTACTTTGAACTCGTAGTCCAGTTTATGTTTCTTTATATTAACCTTGTTTTGTTGTTTTTACACAGTGTAGATTGTTTGTTTTCTTTCATTTAATTTTAAGTTTGTTTTCTGTACCGACGGATTCAGGTTCCGACATCCCAACATAGTGGATCTGCTAGGAATCAGTGAAGGAGGAGGTTCAGTTTGTTTGATCTACAGCTTCATGGAGAACGGTTCCCTTGAGGATCAGCTGCACAATGTAACTTCTTCTTCAATTTTTTTTGTATCTGATATCTGATTGAATTTCATTTCACCCTATCCTCCTCTTCTGCATCTTCTGCTTCTACAACCATCTTTTTCACAATATCTGCAAGTCCACACTGAGGTCCTCTTCTCCTCCGTCCTGGCAATTCTATCTTAAACATTCTTTGTCTATGTTCTACAATCTCTCCTCAGCACACGTCCAAACCATCTCAACATTTAACACTGAGGTCCACTGAGCATTTCACCGTCTCTAAACACTGCTCCTATGGTGCTTGAGCGGCTCCCTGCTCACTTTGGTGATGCTATAATGCAGAGGTGACTTTTCGTTGTGTGCAGTGGTGTGTTGTGTCACAATGACAACAAATCACTTTTATTTGCTTGTTTCTAAGAGAGCACACACATTAGGGCCAGTTGCTCCATGTCGTGCTAAAGCTGGATCGAAATTTTCCCCAAAAGAAATGACTAAAACTTGGCCCGCACTCACATTACCCCAAAGCCCTTGCGCTTTTCACTACAGTGATCCACTCGTATCTGGATCGAAATTTTCCCCAAAAGAAATGACTAAAACCCAATTAATTTGTTCCAGCCCCCCAGAAATATACTATTATTTTCCCCCTATTTAAACATCGAAAACATAGATATAAACAAATATATTGATAATATAAAATTAAAAAAAAAAGATAATTAAGAAAACATTTTATATTACTGTTATAAACAAGCATAGGAGAAGGACTGCGAGTGAAGAGAGAAAGAAAGGAAAAGAGCGAAATTAGGGACAGACAGTGAGCGAGACAGTGTCGGGGTTAGTAAGCGTAGGAGAAGGACTGGGAATGAGGGTTTGATTTAGAGCAGGCGTGGGCAAACGACTCGCCGGCCACAATTGTCCTAAAATTGAACAGCGGGGCCGGGTTAGGAGCTGATGGATGAAGCGTTCGTGTGAACTAAGATACATGACATGTAAGTCATGCATAAAGGCTAAAATGCTTCATTTTCTACGCCAGCTGTTGGGGAAATGTGGGTATTACAGGGTAAAGGCAGAAGTATAATAATACTATAAATAAATTATATAATTTGAAAAAGTTTGGCAGGTGGGGTTAAAAAGCTGAACGGGCTGCATCCAGTCCCTGGACCTTAGGTTGCCCAAGGTCTGATTGAGGCCGAAACAACAGTAAGGCACCTGTCCCTGACCCGAAGGCGCAGGGAAGCGACCCTCTCGCTCAGTGGGGAGAACTCCAACACACGACTGGCAAGCTGGGGGGCTATAAGTAAGCCTACGCCAGCACGCCGTCTCTCACCGCGAGCAACTCCACAGCAGAAGAGAAGAGAAGTTACAGACTCGTAATGTGGAATACTCGTATTTCAGGAAGCTCTTTAGGTTGATTCACCAAGGTCAGTGATCTTACATGTCATACCATAAAATAAAAGGTCTTGTTGTTTAATGGAGTCCTGGTACACAGTATAACAGATATCCAGGGGGCCATGGCCTCTGTTAAAACAGAGTATTAAAGATGGCACGCTCATTGACATTGGGGAATCAACACAAGTGGCAAAAAAATGTTTTAATACTTTATTGTACAATTTGTTGTAAAACAGAAGTGATGTAGTTAATATTGTGTAAATTAAATGATTAAAAAAAGACAGAGAGAGAGAGAGAGAGAGAAACTGCTAAACACACAAGGTATCTGCTCTGCTTCTGTCCATCATGTCTGCCATTGCTCTGTCTACCTGTCATTGTCCCTATGTTCATAGTCCTTACTCTGATCTTTACTGTCCTGTATTTCCTGTTCTCTCTCAGTCTCCTTGCACGTCTTCCTCTGCTCTTCTTCGATGGTTTTGATCAACGATCAAACGGTTGGTTAACATAACTGGTGTTGACAGTTGTTAACCTGGGCCACAACCAACCGGTATGGAAGTCAATTTTTAGATCAGCAAGATTGTTTTGACAGCAATTTTAATGCCGTGTGCACTTCTTGGTGCAACCCTCCCTCTCCAGCTTTTTTAAAACTTAAGAAATGCACAACTTCGATTTCCTGTTGAAAGGATGTCCTCGTCCAAACTTTTGAACTCTTTAACTAATTTCTTTGCAGAAGTGTGGTGCCCTTTCCTGGTCAGATAGACTTTGTATTGTTGAAGGCGTGTCCTCTGCTTTGTTCTTCCTCCACTCTCCTCCGGAAAGTCATGCTTCACTCATCCATGGAGACGTTAAGAGGTCAGTCTGACATTATTACAACCCATTTTATGTGTCTGAATAATGACATAACATGTCTCACCCTGTTTCTGTGTCCTCAGCTCAAACATCTTGTTGGATCGCCACATGGTGCCTAAGTTGGCTGACTTTGGGTTGGCTCGGTTTGCGTGCGGCCAAAACACCAGAAAATCATCTAAACGTACAGGGTTTCAGACAGCGTCGGTCGGAAAGACGGAGACGGTCCGAGGAACGTTGGCATACCTCCCTGACGAGTACATAAGGAATGGAGAATTTGGACCAGCTATGGATGTTTACAGCTTTGGCGTGGTGAGGTGTCACTTTCTTCTTAAATTATTTGTTCTGTACCCTTAGTCTGGAACAAGGGTTTATGACTGGACAGGACATGTGTTTAACAGAAGGGTCATCCAGTATGAGGTAACCAGGCATTTCTCTGTATGTAAAACTGACATTATACTTTGTAATACCAGAGACCAGAGGCCATTATCAGGAAAATGAAAATGTTATTATTATTAGTCCATTAAAAAGGAGCTGAGTTCGACAGGGCTTTAGGGGTTAAACCAAATTTGGAGGTAATGTTTTTAACGTCTACTTACTTCTTAGCTCGGTGATCTTTGTATGACAGGTGCTGTTGGAGGTTCTCACTGGTCGTCCTGCTCTGGACAGAAAGGGACAACAAGACATATTTCTGGTGAGGACAAAAACAGTTTACATTCAGGAAGTTCTAATGATTGAAACAAATTTGAAAGAATTTTGTATTAAATATCCTTTAATGTTCATTGTGGGTTTTTTTTCTTGCTCTGTGTGAAAGAATTTAAAACCTTGAATAAAACTGTGTCAACACGTGTATGACATCAGAATGACAACATTAAACTTTGTGTCCTGTTTCTGGCCTTATCTCTGGTACTGGTGAACTCTGGCGGTGTAGAAAGACCTGGTGGAGGATGTTGAGGAAAGTGCGGCTGGTTCTTGTGAAGCAGAATGGAGAAAACATCTGGATCATCATCTAATCAGAGGTCAGTTTTACTGCAAATATTGTCATTCTAAAGACAATTGACCTGAGCTGAAGGTCTATGGTTAAATCTCCAGTTTTAGTTCTGTTTTTTTTTTTCAGTGCAGATTCTAACTTTCAGATTTTGGTCTGACCTTAATGTTTTGGTCTAAAGTCCAGGATCAAATTAAAGCTTCAAGTTCGGGTTCGGCCTCCAAGTTGAGGTTGAAGTTGAAGTTTAGCTTTAATAAAGCTCACAGGTTAAAGTATTAGCAGCAAGTCCAGATTTGACTTGCCTGTCTAGTCCAGAATGAGGTATATTTCTGACCTGTTCTATGCTACAGATTTGTGTCTGATTCCAATGTTCACAATTGTTCTGGGGATGGAGGTCTCACCTTCAGTCTGCATGTTATTTGTTGTGCCTGTGTCAAATCCTTAGCGGGTTCTGCTGATCTCACTGGTTGGATGAAGATTGTAACTCTGGCTTGCACTTGTTTAAAGAAGAGGAGGAAGGAGAGACCACTCATGAGTGAGGTCAACCAATCAAAATTTTTTTTTGCATTAATTGTATTAAAGACAATTTAAAGATGAAATACAGTTCAAATGTCGAAATCTGTTCCTCATCCCTGTTTTTTCCCTTTCATAGGTCTATAAAAAACTAAAGGAGATGCAGGTTTTGGTTGGCGGAGCTACTAGCTCCTCATGGCGCTTGCCGCACCCACCTGTTGACTCTAGTATTGATGATCTGTCCTGTCCGATGTCTAAATTAGGGATACTGGAGGACATGGACGTTCAGTTACAGTCCTTCAACTCTCCGTTCTCACCAGCCCTCCATCAAACACTCCACTCCTCCTCTTCTTGCTCCTTTGTGGGTCCATGTGAAACAGACGAGAGCCAAGGATTGCCACAGTATGACCTTCAGTCTCACTGCCGGTCAAACCAGACTAGTTTCAGATGTGTGCCTGTGACCGCTGGAGAACAATATCCAGTCCAATTAAAAGGTCCTTCTGTCCCAACTGAGGACCAGTATGACTGTCCTCCTCTTCCATTAAACAAACCAGGGTGGGACGCTACAGCAGGACTTTATGGTGTCACTAAAAGTCTGTCTTCTATAGGGTCACTGCAGTCCACATCACCACAGACTTCAGGTAGGCCTTTCATCAGGAGTCGGTAACGACTTGAAATCTTCTTCATATTCTTAAAACTGAATAAAGCTCACAGGTTAAAGTATTAGCAGCAAGTCCAGATTTGACTTGCCTGTCTAGTCCAGAATGAGGTATATTTCTGACCTGTTCTATGCTACAGATTTGTGTCTGATTCCAATGTTCACAATTGTTCTGGGGATGGAGGTCTCACCTTCAGTCTGCATGTTATTTGTTGTGCCTGTGTCAAATCCTTAGCGGGTTCTGCTGATCTCACTGGTTGGATGAAGATTGTAACTCTGGCTTGCACTTGTTTAAAGAAGAGGAGGAAGGAGAGACCACTCATGAGTGAGGTCAACCAATCAAAATTTTTTTTTGCATTAATTGTATTAAAGACAATTTAAAGATGAAATACAGTTCAAATGTCGAAATCTGTTCCTCATCCCTGTTTTTTCCCTTTCATAGGTCTATAAAAAACTAAAGGAGATGCAGGTTTTGGTTGGCGGAGCTACTAGCTCCTCATGGCGCTTGCCGCACCCACCTGTTGACTCTAGTATTGATGATCTGTCCTGTCCGATGTCTAAATTAGGGATACTGGAGGACATGGACGTTCAGTTACAGTCCTTCAACTCTCCGTTCTCACCAGCCCTCCATCAAACACTCCACTCCTCCTCTTCTTGCTCCTTTGTGGGTCCATGTGAAACAGACGAGAGCCAAGGATTGCCACAGTATGACCTTCAGTCTCACTGCCGGTCAAACCAGACTAGTTTCAGATGTGTGCCTGTGACCGCTGGAGAACAATATCCAGTCCAATTAAAAGGTCCTTCTGTCCCAACTGAGGACCAGTATGACTGTCCTCCTCTTCCATTAAACAAACCAGGGTGGGACGCTACAGCAGGACTTTATGGTGTCACTAAAAGTCTGTCTTCTATAGGGTCACTGCAGTCCACATCACCACAGACTTCAGGTAGGCCTTTTCATCAGGAGTCGGTAACGACTTGAAATCTTCTTCATATTCTTAAAACTGAATTTTAAAACTCCTGCAACATAAATATATCTTTAAGCAAAACTTGTGGGAATAAAGTGTGTAATCAGTAGAAAAGCTGAAGGGCAGAATAAAATAGTCTGTTAGTAACTGACATTAAAAAAAAAAGTGCAAAAAATGTTAAGTGTGATTTAATTTGAATAAAAAAATAAGCTACAGAAATGCCTGAAAACAATTACAAAAAAATAAATTTTGATTAAGAAAAGGGTAAATGTAAAATTATTGCACGAAAATGTAGAAATAAAAAAACAACTCTTTCTCAACTAATCTATTACTTACCTCTCAAAAAGTATACAGTGTTCCCTCTTTATTTCGCGGTTCTCCTTTCGCTCCCTCAGTACATTGCAGTTTGTTTGTTTTTATCTGTTCCATGGAAGTTTCACTATACTGCAGTATTTTACGGTAATTTTCTTTTTTTAAATTTCCAATGTTTTCCTACTCCTACTAATATAGGGAGAGACTTGATTATTTGTTGTGCTCACCCGTGTCGCCACTCCTGTGCTCTCTCTCCTGCAGCTGAGCGCTAACCTCCACCACGTTTATTTACGTAATAAATGTCTTATATTTCCATTATACAACTCTACTGTCCATATAATTGTGTAGGAAAGGGTAATACAGTCTAGGGAGAGTTGATAACAGTGTGGGGGAGGTTCGTAAAGGGTAAATATATACATAAATAATATAAAACCTATCTCGCCCCTACTTTGTAGATTTTCCCTTTTTGCGCTGGGTCTTGGAACACAACTACCGCGATAGGAGAGGGCTCACTGTATATGGACTTAGCAATGTCTAAAACTCGAAAACAGGGGTGTCAAAGTCAAAGTCACAGTGGGCAAAAATTAAAAATTGGGACGATTATTACTAAACTTAATATTTATTGAAAAATTGATGGAAATTGTGCAAAGTGGGCAAAAATTAAAAACTGGGACGATTATTACTAAACTAAGATATGTAATGTGGAATTTTTCATGTGGAAACAAACTTTAGTTTTGCGTTAACATTGAATTTGGAACAACCAAAGCTTAATATTATAAACACATGAGAAATTAAATTTAAAATAAAACATACATCAGTGGCTTATTTTATCTCTTTATCTGTAACCTTGTATGAGTTCCTTTTTAATGTCAATCTTTTTACAGGCCAACAACGAAAAACAAAATGTATGTACATAGCGCATATGCGCTAATACTACAAATCCTGCCAGTATGTATTGGCTATATACTGGCGGGCCAACTCTAGAACACATTTTATCTGATCTCCCGCAAACATAATTACACTGCTGGCCAATCCTGAGTTTGACACATGCTCTAAAACATCAAATGAAGCTAGACAAGTAATAAATGGTTACTTTTGGACAACTGTTAAGACGTTTTAAAAAATGTTTTTTTTTCAAACTGGTAAAAGGGCCTTTCCTGTGTATCATAAATATCTAGTGTGTGTCTATGTGTGTTTGTGTATGTGTCTTCAGTTGATATTAATCCTAGTAAACAGTGTCTCCTGAAGAAGAAAGCTGTTAATGAAAAAAACAAGTTTAGACAGGAGAGCTGCTGTCATCAGATGACATCTGTATGTAACTCCTTCAATTTTATAAAAAAAATAGTGCTGCAGTGAACTTTTTTAGTTATCTCAAGATTATGAAGTTATTCAATGTAAATTGCAATTCCCCCAAAAGGTTGCTCTGAACTTAGAACTTCATTAAGATCAAATGTCAAAACCGGTATTTGTAAATGTAATCCTTATTCTTCAAAAAAAAAAAAAAAAAGTGTTTGACTGACTTCGATTCTTCATTATACTTGTAAAGATAATATTTTCCTGGATGCCAATATTTGACCCTGATTTCCTTTTGCTGTAATGTTTTCTTTTCATAGCTGATGGAGGAGGTATCTCTGAGGACTCCAGAGGACCTGAGGAGAGTGATGAGCTAGATTATCTGACTTCCAATCACAGCTGATGGCATGTAGTGGTCACTAAAAAAACCTACAGGTAGCACTGTTGCTTTCAGATGTAGAAACAGTAAAAATTGCATAACTTCAATTTCTTCTCAAGGACTGTCTAATTATTTCACTTTTGTTATTCCATCACTCTGAGCTGCAAAGATTTTATACACATTGCTTTCCTTCAGCTTCACCCATAATTTTGTTGATGGAAAGGCAAAATGTTGCAATTTTCATCATATCTGTAGAAATTGTATGTAAAAGCAGAAAAACTTTGTTTCAAATGTACTTTTTATTGTTAAAATCACAACTTTTAATCCTCTTATATTTAAACATTTCAAACAGATTTCTACCTATAGATGTACAATGATGATATTGTTCTGATTGAAACACCGCTACTGCTTTATTTTTAATAAAACATTTCCTGTTTCAGGTTTTCAGAGATTGTTACTGCTGTATGAACAGTAATTTTATTTAAATAAAACTATATATTTTTGTATATTTTCTTTGTTATCCATTATTTTTCTAAACATGGGAACCTGAATCACACATGGGTGCAAAAAAATCTATCATAAGGACAAGGTAAACATTTTTGATACAAATGATACAAAAATCAATAGTATGACAATAAGGAACATTTTTAGAACAAAATATCCTGCATTTCTGTTGCAATACAGATTTTAGCATGGCAATGCCTACAACACAGCAGTTGTAACTTAAAAAACTATGTTAAGGAAAAATTAAAAAGCAGCTCAAATCTAACTGAAAGTTTTATCACACAAAATAATGATATATTGATCAAAAAATTTGGAACATTAGAATAACAGCTGAGATACGTATAAAACTAAGACATGACTAAGAAATGTCAAAAATTAGTCAAGAAGTTTCATGTGCAGTCAAAAAATAGGTAACCCTAAACAAAACCATTAAAATACCAGACTACAACTACAAGTCACAAATATCACAGATTAATGTTAGAAAACAATTGGCTAAACTTTAGCTGAAAAATAACAAAGTAGTCCCTTTTTATGAATATTAGCCTATAATCTAAACAATTCCAATGAATACAATACAAATGCAAATATGGGTTATCTAAATAAATATGGAGCCCAAATAAATACAACATTCGTCAAAACGTTGCTAAAATCAAAATAATGCATGAATGATGACCAAACAATAGCAAGAATGCCAGAAAGTTTCGTGCTTAAAGTTTCCAAAAAATGCCTAACACTAAGAATTTGTAAAACATACACAAAAATTAGTTGTTTTCAAATTTCATTTTTTTAAATTTTATTTTATTTTTTACTGTTTTTGGTTGTAGATTGTAATGGTTAGTGGCAGTTCCCTTAGTTCCCGGTTTTTACAATGTCGGGGGTTTTTTCGTTGCTGTAGTAACAACAGATGTTAGCCGTTAGCTCAACTCCCGGCTCTGCTTTAGCGGCAAGATGGCGGCTCCCGTCCCCGTGGTTCGCTGCTTATATCTGCGTCTTTAACAGTGGTTAGTAGCCACGCTACAACCACAAACTCTATTGCACGGAGCAGCGTTTTCGTCCCACGGCAGGCGTTGACTGTACGCAAACGTTTGCTCAAATCCGTGTCGTCGGTGCAACAGCCTTCGGATTTGTACCAACTCCACTCAGCAGTGTTCACCGGGGAAAATGGCGGATTGTTCGCTTTCTGTTTGTAGGCTAACGGTTAACAGCTAAAGAACTGTCCTTCGTGTCTGAACTTTAGACGTATAGACAGTTTGTTTTATGCCTGGCTTTTGTCTGTCGTTCCAATTAGCTTTATCGTGAAACCATTTTCACTGTTGCCGGCACAGTCATTGCAACTGCCTGTAGAAAGAACTGGGGCTAGTTAGCCACTGAGCTAGATAGCAGGCTAATGATAGACTGCTAGGAGGAAACGATTGGGTACCACAAAACTGTTAACATAGCGGATTCCTTTTCTGCGTGACTCCGGATAGGAAGTGGATCATGACATCCGATGTCTTCCCGGCGGTGGTGCAACCGCGTTGGAAGCGAATAATTGGTTGGACTGGGCCGGTGCCCCGACCTCGACATGGGCACCGAGCAGTGGCCATCAAGGAGCTAATGGTAGTGTTTGGAGGAGGAAATGAGGGCATCGTTGATGAGCTGCACGTCTACAACACAGGTTTATTTCATGTTTACCTCCTTTCAAATGCAAAATACTGTCCCCGGTTGATATTTTTTAACTACTTGTCAAATGCATTGGTGTGGAATTGTGTGGTTGGTAGCATTGCTATCATGTTCCTGGGTGTGTTCTGCTGATATTACTTTGTTTTGTAGCCTATGCTGAACTAGGGTAGCATCCAGTCCGCGTGCTAACGCATACCCAAAGACTTGTCGTGTTCACAAGGGCTTACAACATTAGTAAGAGGCAATAGTACTAAACAGTAAAAGGTAGCGCTGTTAGCCAGACGAGGCCAACACAGGTAGCCATATGCTAACAGACGTTCGGGCACAGATACAAAAAAATGGCGCGTTTTTACTGAAAACATTGGTGACGTCGACACAAACACGCCCCCAGGTACTGAAGAGCTGAACATTGATACGAAAAAGAAAACATAAAAACAAACAAACAAATGAGCTTGAACCTAAACACATAAATGACCTATGAAAAACAAACAAACAAATGAGCTTGAACTTAAACACATAAATGACCTATGACCTAACAGTGTCACAGTAACTTTAATTTCCGACATTATAATTGCTTTAACTTAATTAAAGCAAGCAAAAATTAACGGAAATTAAATAATTGTTACTGTGACACCCGAATCAAACCATTAAAAATACTAAGACTTGTTTCCGACATTATAATTGCTTTAACTTATAATGTCGGAAATTAAACAATTGTTACTGTGACACCCGAATTTAACCATTAAAAATACTAAGACTTATAGAATAATTCATAAAATCGTTACGTACTTCGTATGTTCGATAACCTACTTTAAACACTAGATTTTGATTGAATCCGATTGTAAGTATTACTCAGGCGTCATTGATGATAGTGCATACTAAACTTAATGGTAGTAAATAAACACTGTACCTTCACGTAATCAAAATAAACTTATCATCAAATCAAAACTTCTTAAAATGTTCTCTAGCCCCGGTGGACTACCTAAGGGGCCCGTTATGTATGTTCTCAAAATAAAACTAGTCAACAAGATGGTCAAAAATTGTACTGTATCTCAACAAGATTGTCAAAAATTGTACTGTATTTGTGCTTTTTCATTCAGTTACTCTTGCAATGATATTCAAATGGGTGCAATGAAATGGTAAGAAGAGTGTCTGCTATCATATGTCCTAGAACTGTTTATTATAACATTGTTCGGGAAATCTCTATCAGACAAGTAGCTCTTCATATTACTAAGTGCCCTTGAAGTAGCTCAGTTGCAAAAAGGTTGACCCCTGCATTAAATTATGGACTGAACCGCCTAATGTGGTGTATCTAAGACAAAAGTATGGACTGAACCGCCTAATGTGGTGTAAGACAAATGTGTTTCTGTGGGGTTTTCTTATGTGTCTGTAAAGTTTACTTTACCAATAATTGAATTGTTCTTGCATATATATATGTCTTTTTGTTAGTAGTTAAGTTGTTCATCATAGTTTCTGTGCCAATAGTGACAAAAACTCCCAGCTTTTTTTGAATCTCTGTCCCCAAGCTTTGTAGGAGCACCCCATGACCCCAAAGAAAAAATAGGATACTGCGGCTTGGCCCCATTGTGGGTCTACTGGTTATGTTTTCTTGACAGGAAGTCTGTTGTTTAAGTTTTGTGAAAAAATGTCTTTCCTTTCTAGTGCTAACATTTATGTAACTCCCTCCAGCTACCAACCAATGGTTCATTCCTGCAGTGCGGGGTGACATCCCCCCTGGGTGTGCTGCTTTTGGTTTTGTGTGTGATGGGACAAGGTTGCTGGTTTTTGGAGGGATGGTGGAGTATGGCAAATATAGCAATGACCTATATGAACTGCAGGTGAGTGAGCTGTTGCAAAAGCAACATGAAAATCATGCCTATATCTACTTAGATCTTCAAATGGTCCATATGACTGTTTTTGTTTTAAAGTGTGAGCTCAGCTTCAATGTGCTCTTTTTAGGCTAGTCGGTGGGAGTGGAAACGTCTGAAGGCCAAAGCTCCTAAAAATGGACCGCCCCCCTGTCCCCGCTTGGGGCACAGCTTCTCTCTGATTGGTAGTCGCTGTTATCTATTTGGAGGACTAGCTAATGACAGTGAGGATCCTAAGAATAACATTCCCAGGTGACTTTCATTAGGCATGTAAACACGATCCATGACTCCTCCAGGTCCAGGCTTATTTCTGTCTCTGTCTCTCTTTCTCTCTCAGGTACCTGAACGACCTGTATTGTCTTGAGCTACGTCCTGGCACCAGTGTCGTGGGCTGGGACATCCCATTGACGTCAGGTCAACCCCCTCCACCAAGAGAGAGTCACACCGCTGTGGTCACAGGCAGCCATGGCTCCAGCAAACTAATCATTTATGGAGGGATGAGTGGCTGCAGGCTGGGCGACTTATGGATGCTGGACATAGGTGAGTCCAAAGAATGCAGTCTCTAACTGGGATGTTAACATAATAACCTGAAACCTGTGTACCTTACCTTTGAACTGTCTCTTGTTCTTGTCTCGTAATGCCGCAGACACGATGACGTGGTCAAAACCGTCCTTGAGTGGCTCCTCCCCACTTCCTCGCAGTCTGCACTCTACCACTGTCATCAAAAACAAGTAGGAACAGTCGTCACTAGGGGTGCAGTTTTCTGGCTTATGGTTATACTATAGACTCTAAGTGTTAAGAAAATAACACGAAATAAGAAAATTTAAGTTTGTAACGGACAGAGAAGAAATATGCAAGTAAGGAGTTTGGTCACTTTCTCAGGGTTTCCTCCAACACTGTTGGCTGTTTTAGCCCCACCCTAAAATGCTCTCATAGGTTAAGACGCCAGTTCAAAGCCGGTACTGATCAAAACCCCTTCAAGGTCAGCCAAATTCTGGTATTTTAGGATTTCTGGCTGCTCCTTTTTTTTTTTTTTTTTTTTTAAGCCCGACCTGCCTCACCTATAGCTGCATCTACCTTTAATGTTTGAATCTTGTTCAGTTGAAAAAAATACCTGTGAACACAATGCTTTTGCAAGTAAAGGAAGCAAGGTTTGAGGTACTCAAACCTTGATAAAATATCAAAAACTTAAAATACATTTCAGAAATCTATCCCGAGTCTGCATTTGGGTTGACTAGCTACTCCTGCAGGTATTAAGTGAGTCTCATGTCTTCTATAAGGGCACACTCACAATAGGTCCAGTTGCGCCATGCCATGCTGAAACGCCTATTGCCCCCCTTCCCTGTCCCCCTTTGGCCAGGACTCACATTACCCCAAAAGAAGTTAAAGCAGCACAACCAAGAGCTAATCTGACAAGAACAATTGTAATAGCTACTTTGTAAAAGATCTTTAAAAATAGTTACCATGACATCCGTAGTGAGTTATTGGTTTCCTTGAAAGAAAGCCCAGATGCAGCAGCACTATGGCGATTTATATGCAAAATATTAATCTAAAACTAACCAGTCTAAACAGTCTACAGGAGTTCCAACAAGTTAAAAAAATCTTAAAAAAAAGTGTATGTTTTAAAAGTCATTGGGTAATAAGAAATAACATGGCGCAGGTCAGTTGTTCTTACAGACTCATTGCAGTCACTTGTTCATCAATGGCAGGTTTTTCTTTATGAACAAAAGCTGCATCAGGTTTCTGAAAGAATGGTCCTCTATGACCAAATATTGCTGATCGTATGGCGAATGAGTTTTGTTGTATTGAACGATTTGATTGTGGCAACTTTCACAACCTTTTTAGGCCTTACATGAATTACAAATCCTCTGCTTTCCTTCTTTAACCATAATAATTCTCCACTGACAACATGCTTGTTTGAGTGTTCTCCACCTGACTGTTGATGTTGTAGAGACACATGCAGCCTGGTGAGAGGGCTGTCAGTCCCATATCTGCCAATTGTAGATCCTGGGAAATTAAGGAAATCAATGCCTAACTGTCAGGTAGCTGATCGATCAGTGCACCCATAGTCTTCACTGTTGTAAATGTAACTGATATACACAGTTATGTTAATAATATATGTAAGTACAAATGGGTTTTCTTCTCTCTCCCAAATCTCTCTCTTTGTTTCCACCTGTATTTTTATTCTGTCTATGTCAACTTGTTTGTCTCTATATCTTCACCATCCTGTTTCTGTCACTCTCTCCCAACTGCAACCATCTGTCCATCAGAATGTACGTGTTTGGAGGTTGGGTTCCTTTGGTAATGGATGATGTTAAGGTGGCAACACATGAGAAGGAGTGGAAGTGCACAAATTCACTGGCCTGTCTCAACCTGAGTATGTATATACACACACACACACACACACACACACACACACACACAGAGAAGGTCACAGATGGACACACACACACACACACAGAAGGTCACAGATGGGTATGCCAAGACCTCTCCAGCCTGTCCAACTGATTGTCACTGTGCCTAGACACGTTGGGCTGGGAGACTGTTTTGATGGACAGCGAGGAGGAGAAGATTCCTCGAGCTCGAGCAGGACACTGCAGTGTTGCCATTAATTCCAGACTTTACATCTGGAGTGGTAGGGACGGATACAGGAAGGCATGGAACAACCAGGTCTGCTGCAAGGACCTCTGGTACCTGGAGACAGGTGAGCTGCCGCACACAAACACTGAAACATGTATGGAGATAACAAGCAAAGAGAGAGAGAAAATCTTCCACAGGTTTTGTGTATAAACACGTCATAGAAGTTCCAAAATGTGTTTTGCTCTCATGTGGTCCAAAAATCATATCTATATTTTCTCTATTTTTTTTTCTCCTACGTCATTGTAACAAAAAAGAGCAAAACAGTATACAATGGGCCTTGAGATACGAGCTACATGAAATACTTGTGTTTTCCAAGTTAGGAGTAAGCAACCTTTGCTTCTCTTTCTATCATCTAAAACGAATCCTCACTCCCAGTCCCCTCCTATGCTTAGTGGCCCATCGCTGTCACTCGCTGGGTCATTTTACCCATTTTTATAACAATAATATAAATATAAAATGTTTTCTTAATTATTATTCTTTAATATTATCAATATATATGTTTATATCTATGTTTTTGATATTTAGATGGGGGATTTTAATTTAATTAATAGTATATTTCTGGGGGGCCGCAACAAATGAATTGGTTTTTAGTTATTCTTAATTAGAGAAAATGCAATCTAGATACAAGAGAATAGACATACGAGAGCTGGAACGGATTAAACTTGTATCTCAAAGCCCCCACTGTACTACTACTGAAGCATCAGTACTAAACATACAGTACATATTAATTGAAATGGCATGTCAGTGAAATTAAGTTTAAACAAAAAAAGGTTTGTTTAAACAGACCTCTATTTCTGAATATAGAACAGTAATTGGTAACAGTTAACCACTGTTGCAAAACATTGTGACAACATTAACTTGTATTGTATTGTTTTATATTGTATACCTCCAACTGTGTTACGTAGAGCCAACATTGAGAGTGCTTTCTAAGTGCTTTTATTTTAACAAAACCAGGAAAGCCTTAAAAGACATGACTTTTTACTGACTGAAGTTTCCTTCTCTGTTTTTACCGGGGCTTCACCATTATGACCAAAATGATCACATTTTTTTTTTTATCAATATTGAAACCAGGATTATCAATCACGATTTTTCATTGTTTGGTAAAGCATATACAGTATTTCAGTGCTTAGTTTAAGGAACATGCCAAATGTCAGACAAGCACCTTGATTAACAGAGGTCACTCTGCACAATTTCAAAATGTAAATAATAAAAATAAAACAAATCTGTTTATATGCAGGTATTAGGGTATTTGTTTTAGTGCCTTGATAGCCAGATTTTCAACGCCGTTGTTGCCGAGACTTTAGACATGCATATAAAAATATTCCATCCATCCATTTTCTTCCGCTCATCCGTTACCGGGTCGCGAGGGCAGCAGTTGCTATCGCAGGTGGTGAGTCCACTGGAAGGCGCCAATCGCCCTAACCGGGATTCCATCTCCCAGGAGGTGACACTAATGACAGAGACATTGTCTCTTGGCCAAAGCACCGCTAAAAATATTCCAAATATATTTAAAAGTTATTACAACACTTTCTGTTTCTTTTCATTTAAAACATTCAAAACACAATAACCTGTTAAACAGACTTAGTTTTCAGATTGCAAATTTTTAAACCCAATGACAAAGCAGCATGCACATGTCTCTTATTGTGCATATGGGTCTTAGCACTGTTAGGCATACACCTCACTGCACGTCACCGTCCCCTATTTAGTGTGGCACGCTACTTTCTGCCTTACCCTGTACATTTTCTTTGCGTATTCGTGGCCAATCAGAAACACTAAATAAGTCACATTCAATAAATATATTAGACAGACTGAAACATCAGCATTTGTAGTACACATGTATCAAACAAGTACATATATCTGCAGTATAAGGAGAAACGGCAATGGACATATGGCAACTACACATCCTTCCATCAGGGGTTGTCTGTGAGGCGCAACGCTCATCAGAACCTTGCCTTGAACAGGAAAGTTTAAATAAATCTGTTGAGAAAGTACTTCATTTCTTATGACGCAGTTCGCTTTTTAAATGCGATCATCTCAATTTAATCGTGGCAGACAAAATTGAGATTGTGACAAAAATTTGATTAATTGTGCAACCCTAATGTTTAGTGCCTTGCATTGCAGTTTTGTTGCTTTGTGTTAATGTGTTGAGAGAGGCAGAGTTGTATTAAAGACTAGATGGAGAAAAGTGAAACGGCCAAAAATAGGCCAAGAGATAGTTTAATGAATATTATTTCAAGGCAAGATTACATATCAATACACACAAAATAGTCCTATTTTATATTGTGTTTAAACTTATATCAATATATGTTATTTGTTTTAGATAGATGTGCTTTATTGATCCCACACTGGCAGGCCTTATCCTCCTGTGTACAAATGAGGCAATTGTCTCATTTTTTTATTTATTATACATTCTCATCTTTTGACATCATTGTTATTGCCCCCTGCCCCTTGCTCACTTTGATGATGGGTAAAATTTCACAAAAAGGTCACATTTTGTTGTGTGCAGTGGTGTGCTGTGTCACAATGACAAGGAGTTCACTTTCTTTCTCTCTCTCTTTCTTCCTTTCTCTCTTTTTCTGTCTCTCTTTGTTTCTTTCTTTTTTTCTTTGGAGGTCTATGGTTAATTATATAGACTTAGTTCTGAAGCCAACATGCATTTTTTATAAGGAATAACAGCCAATTACTTGCTCATTTTAAGAGGCCTTTTGTGTTGCATAACACACTATTAATAGTTAGTTGATATAGTTTAAAAACACTATAGTTTGATGAAAAAAATCAACACAATACTCAAAAATGTTCAATAGTTGAAAGTTGAATTAACTGAATTAAAATAACTAAACAAGGAAAGACGAAAGAGACATGTGTACAGGTAATACAAATTCTCAAGTATTACAAAATTAGCTTTTTTGTTTTTAATAACCAATTGGTAGTTAATGTCTTTCACCTGTCTCCTATCTAACCATAGAGCGTCCTGCTCCTCCATCTCGTGTCCAGCTGGTCCGAGCCAATACCACATCTTTGGAAGTGAACTGGGGTCCATCGCAAACAGCTGACACTTACCTGCTGCAGCTGCAAAAGTATGACATTCCAGCTGCACCTTCGTCGAGTCCCACCCCCCAGAGTCCCATCACGGCCAATCAGACCACTTCAGCTCTGTCAGGCCTCACTCTGGTTCCCTCCCCTGCTGCATCAGTCTCTGCAGCAATGAAGGCTCCAGGTAAAGTCAAACACTGACTTTTAGCAGTCTGAACAGATACTAATAAAACAATGCTTACTTTAGTCTCTGCCTGTGTGTCTGCAGCTGTCCTCAAGGTGGCAGCAACCCCAGGTACAACAGGCGCAGCCTCCATTGTCACTCTTCGACAGACCTCACACAAATCCCCAGCTGCTGTGGCAACACTTCCTGCAGGAGTTCGAATGGTGTTACCTACTCAGCCAGGAACAGTACGTAATATGTATCTAAACTTATATATCACCATGGCTATTTTTTGAATTTTATTATTTATTTTTATTTTTCATCCAATTCAAGACATTTTTAACCTTTTTTTCATAACATTACATTATTACTTATTATTATTGCAATACATTACAATTCAAGACATTTTTAACCTTTTTTTTTCATAACATTACATTATTACATTGCAATACATTGAGCCGATGCTTTTATCAAAAGCGACTTACAATTTGAGTCAGTCAAGCAACAATCAAGCTACAGTAAACATACAAAATACATAAATAATAATCAATAGAAAAAGTACTGCTATAGTCGTAGTAGGTTATAGAGTAAGAGGAAAAGTTAGATCGTGGGTTTGTTAGGATGGGAGATGTTCTTTGAAGAGAGAGGTTTTTAAAGTGCTGTTTGAAAGAAGAGTGGGAAGACGCTGCTCTTGTGGCAGCTGGGAGTTCCACCACATGGGAACCAGGGTGGGGAATGTCCAAGATCGCCTTGTGTGAGGAGGGGGCAAGACAAGTCGACACTCCTGTGATGAGCGCAGCATCCGAGTGGGTGTGTGAGCCTTTATCAATGAGTTTAGATATGCAGGAGCGCTCGCTGCAGTTATTTGATAAGCAAGAGTCAGTGAATTGTGTTTAATCTGCGCAGCAACCAGCAGCCTGAGTAGATCAATGAGCAGAGGAGTTACATGTCCCCTTTTGGGTTGGTTAAAGACTAGACGTGTTGTTTAGATAGGACTGTAAAATATGCTGTTAGTTCATACCCCAGTTTCCTAACACACAAAAAATTCAAATAAAGATCAAATAAAGGTCTGATCAAATAAAGAATCAAATACGAGATCTCAAATTTTAAAAGTTTTACTTGCAAGCAAGGAGTTCAGAACAATGGTTACATTCATAACTGCACTGAGGAACTCCTCCAAATAAGGATTCTTCCACCAATAGGCACTATGTGCATGTGCTGTAGCTAATCAAGTCAGATAGGACCATGCAGTTCGGATGTTTTTCTCTCTTTGTCTTTTGTTGGTCTTCCGTCGGTCTCCTTATTTGGGCAAAGAAACCAGTTCTGACCGGTTCTGTGTCCTTTCTTTATCTCCAAGTGTAACAGTCGGTACCATATCCTATTTTTATGTAATCCACCAGCATGCACACCTGTCTTCACCACTTTCCCTTTTAGTACAGCATAATAACAGCATTCAATAACAGGATAAATTGATATGGAAACTTAATACAATGAATATGTTTGAATACATGTATTTATAACATCTTAACACGTGTCAATAAATGTATTTATAACATCTTAACACGTGTTAAGTCAAGTATGGTCTGATTTTGCGTATGTTGTAGAGTGCAAACCGACAAGTTCGGGATAAATAAGAGTTCAGTCTTAAATAGGTTAAGTTGAAGTTGAAGGATAAGTCTGACAGGCAGGCTGAGACTTGTGCAGAGACTGTGGTATCATCTGATGGAAGAGACAGATATAGCCGTGCGTCATCAGTGTTGCAGTGGTAGGAAAAGCCACAAGAGTAGATGAGCTCACCCAGTGAGATGGTGTATATGGCGAAGAGAAGGGGACCCAGCACAGAACCTTGGGATATCCCTATGGAGAGGCAGTGTCATGGAGACAGTTGTCCCTGCCAAGATACTCTGAAGGGATGCCCGGTGAGGTATGAGCAGAACCAGGAAAGAGAAGCGCCTGAGATCCCCATGTTTGAGAGTAAGCATAGCAAAATGCTGTGGTCTGCTGTGTCAAATGCACCAGATAGGTCTTAAGAATAAGTACTGAGGACTGGCCCGCAGCTTTAGCTATTCTTAGAGGTTCTGTCACAGATAGCAAAGATGTTTCCATGGAGTGACCACTATTGAAACCAGACTGGTTTGTGTCCAGAAGGTTATAACAAGAGAGAAACTCAGTGACTTGTTTAAAGACTGCCCCTTTCGCCTTAGAAAGGAAAGGAAGTAGTGAAACCAGCCAATAGTTCTCAATCTGGGTGGGATTGAGTGCAGGTTTCTTAAGTAGCAGCATCACTCTTGCCTGTTTTATTTGTTCCTTTTTTAATACATTTGGCTAAACTGGGATTACTTTTTTGTCTCTGATTATAAGTTGGTACTGAAAATAACAGTATTGGGTTTGATTAAATTGCTGCCTGTGATTTTTTTTTTATTAAACAGCTCACAGGAAGCATTCCTCAGATGAGTGGCATGGCAGCACTAGCTGCTGCAGCTGCTGCAACTCAGAAGATCCCTTCTTCCTCAGCAGCAGCTACAGCCCTAAACATCCCAACAGCAGCCAGTGTTATGAAAACAGTGGCTGTGAGTCCAGGATCTGTCAGCCTGCCTGTGAAAGTAGCTTCTCCTGTTACCATGGTAATTACCAGGCCACATAACTAGTGTATACAAGTGTGTGTGTCTGTGTGCATGTATACTGTATATGTATGTATATATACAGTATTTATATATATGTGTGTATATATGTATAGTAGGGGTACAACAATACATGTATCTGTATTGAACCATTCAATACAGTGGTCTCGGTTCAGTGCGCACTATTCGTCAAACAATATGTAATTTTATATATTTGTTATGTTCTTCTGATGACACACTTCATGCTGAAAGCTCAGTGGATATATGGAGATACAGTATATATACACATACGCATTAAAAAAAAAAGCAGTTTATTATCACTGTTGTTTTCTTGCAGAGGCAAGGGAAAGCCACGCTACCTCACTTTCCTTATAGAATATAACCATCGTCAACTGTCTCCTTTGATTAAGAGAGTGATTTATAATGTGTAAAACTGCGCCCTAAATGTTACATGGTAAAGAGCTTTGAAAGCATGGTACTGCACTCAGTCTGTGAGGAGGCTATGGTGAACTGGCTTTTCTTGCTCAGTAAAGTTTCCCAATGCAATCCCACTGGTTAAATAAGGCTTTGGCAGGACACCACAGTCCCGGCAATTAATGGGGAACACTGTTGCCACGATGCTGATTTGTTCTTTACGTGTATACGATGACTCATCCGATGTTTTTTTTTTTTCCTTTTTCTCTCCTAAAGGTTTCCAACCCAGCCACAAGGATTTTAAAAACTGCCGCTGCTCAGGTGGGTGGAGTCACAGTCATCCCTACCCCTGTGACACAAACGCGACCACTTATTACAGTCCACAAGTCTGGTACAGTGACAGTCTCCCAGCAGGCTCAGGTGGTCACAACAGTGGTGGGTGGAGTCACAAAGACAATCACCTTGGTGAACAGTCCACTCAATATGGGAGGAGGAGGATCTCTGGTGATTTATTTCAACTTTTGGAGGTGACGTTATACAGGTTGACATTCACATGATGTTGATGAGGTTGTCACTCTTGTGCTTTTCAGATTGGGAACCTTGGTAAAGTGATGTCAGTGGTCCAGACCAAACCCGTTCAGACTGGGGCAGTCACTGCTCAGGCTGCAGGTGGCACTGTGGCCCAGATCATTCAGGTATGACCATACCGGGGACATTATAAACATGGCTTTTGACAATTGACACTGATGTTTATTGACCTCTATTTTTTTTTTTTTTTTGTTCTAAGACAAAGGGTGGTCTTCCAGCAGGAACTATTCTGAAGCTGATGACAACAGCAGATGGTAAACAAACCATCATTGGTACCACACAGGGTGGATCCACTTCCAACAAACCCACCATCATCAAAACTATACCAATGTCAGCACTGCAAGGCGGGGCAGGTAAAGATGTATATTTAAAGTCCTGAAATTATGTGTTCACATTACCTTAAATACTAAAGTTTCCTCCCAATCACAGGGAAAAGTCCAATTACTATCCTCACAACCAAGGTGGTTTCACCAGGAACAATGGGAAAAATCATCACTACTGTCCCAAAGATTACCACAGGAGGACAGCCAGGGCTCACACAGGTAATAAGCACACATTTGTTTTTCTCAATGTCCAAAAACATGCAGGATTTTGTCTTAGGCGTTGGGCACACTAAAGTGACAATAAGTGCGAATATGAGATGTATTATTATTCTTCCTTTCTCAGTCAAATCCAGGTCATGGTCAAGGTTGAACAGTTCCGTTCGGCAACTACTAAATACTGCGGGTGTGTAGTATATAAGTATTTACTGTACTCCCCACCACCAGTTAGAACTAAAGAAGCATCTTCGATGAGAGGCGAAATGTCTTCTTGAAAAAAATGTCATGTCCAGTTGCCTAACGGAACTCTTTAACTTTATTCTTCTTTTGTGTGGAGCTGTGTTTTGCTTCCACCCTTCATGAACCTAAAATTGAATTAAATCATATGAATGCTTAGTAATGATTTAAATCTAAGAGTTGTTTTTTGGGTTCTGTAACTGTGTCTAGCAATTCTTTTTTAATCTGTGTGGTGTTAGGACTGTATGTAAGCAGCATATGGGAAGCTGATACTGCACATCTGGACGTCAAACACTTTTACAGTTGTTTGTGTATGAAAGCTATTGTTAGATTAATTTGGTTGAACCATATGAATTCTTTAGTTTTTAGTGGAAGCATTAATTGTATTTGTAAACTAGCAGAAGAAGCAACAAAACTTGATTAGAGATGTGGATGTTAAGGCTCCAATATTTGAAAAACCTGGCAAAAAAAAATCATGGAAAAAGCTGTCTATCTTGTTTCTGTGGTCAGGTTGTGTTGAAAGGTTCTCCAGGTTCACCTGGAACAATCCTTAGAACTGTTCCAATGAGCGGTGTCCGACTTGTATCGCCTGGAAGCATCTGCAATAAACCCGGGGTCACCACTCTTGTGGTCAAGGCAACAACAGGTAAACATTGTTGAGGTTTGTGTGCCCTGATGGCCTGTGATTAGTTGGTTTTAGGCAGGTCATTTCTGTGTCTCAGCAGGCATGTCTAGTCTGGGAACAGTCGCAGGAAACGTCTCGACCTCTGTGGCAGGTGGTGCCATTGCTGCTGCCCACGCCTCTTTGGCCACACCTGTAACCACTCTAGCAACCATTGCTACATTGGCCAGTCAGGTTACCGCGGCAACTGCAGCAGTACCAAAGCAGGTAAACTTTTTGTTTTCACACAAAACTGATGCATAAAGTCACTGATTTTTGAACTGGTCTTTGATATTTATGGAATCAAATCCTGAGATAAAAAAATGACAATATGCAGTGGAACCTCAGTTGTCGAATGCCTCCCTTTTCGAAAACAATTCGGTTCACAAACAACATTTTTAACCAAAAATTGCCCCGGTTGTCGTACTTGGTTGCCGAATAAGAGACAACACCACAAGTGACTGAGTGTGTGGCATTAGTCCCCCCTCAGGATATACAGCCAAACAAACATTGCCCAATCATGACTCATCAGCACTGGTAAGGATCAATGAAATAGTTTTTTCTATTTATAACGTTATTCTTTATTCAGTTGTGTTTATCTTTTTTTGTTCGATCTAATTATTTTCATTGTTCTTTGTGTATATACCTGTACACAGAATACTGTTGAAGAAGTTTGAATAAGCAGTCATCTGGGGTACAGGAACGGATTAATCCATTTTACATTGAACACTTTGGGGAAAATGTTTAAATTTTTGAACTTTTCGGTTCACGGACCACCTTCAGGAACCAATTAAGTTCGAAAACCGAGGTTCAACTGTACACTGAGCTTGTTTTTTTTTCCATAATCAAAAAAAAAAGATATAATGGTTTGGTATGAAAGGTTGAACAAAAATACAAATGATATACAGTAGGGTTTCAAGATACATGCTACCACAAATACGAGTATTCTAAGTTTTGAGTCTGCAACTTTTGCAAGATTGTCCACGTGATACGAGGAAACGGCAAGATACAAGTGCTCAACTGAGCTCCATTTTTCTACTTGGTTTGGTTGCTTTACTTTCCTACCCTCTCTCTCTCTTCCTCCCCCCTACCCTCTCTCTATATATCATCTAAATTGAGTCCTCCCTCCAAGTCCTTCTCCTGCTTAGTGGTCCTGCCTCCCTCACTGTCCCTCGCTGGGTTATTTTACCCTTTTTAATAACGATAATATAATGTTTTCTTAATAATTATAGTTTTATTTTATCTATATTTGTTTATATCTGTTTTCAATGTTTACATAGGGAGTAGGGGTAATTAATAGTATATTTCTGGGGGTTGTAACAAATTAATTGGTGTTTATGCAATGTTGATATGAGCAGATTGAGATAAGAGTGCTGTTGTGGAATGGATTCAACTTGTATCTTGAAGCCCCACTCTAGCTAGAAAAGATATTGGATGAAAATGAATTGAGACCTTTCCTTAAAAAGAAGGTATTTTTTGCCTCCTCTAGGTTACATTGATTACAACTCCAAGTGGTGCTGAAGCTCAGCCACTGGTCCAGGATCTGCCAGTCTCCATCATGGCATCTCCTACTTCTGAAGAACCAGGAAGTACAACAAGCACTGTGACAGTGACAGGTACATGCATGTTACTATGATGACTGCTAACTACTGATCGTTCATCAGGAGGGTTGACGATGTCACTGTGATGCAGTTGCAGATGGTGCTGTCTGTTCAAACCCACCATGTGAAACTCATGACACTGGCACCACCAGCACTTTCACTGTGGCTTCAGCAACTATGGGTGGAGACAGAGTTTGTTCCAACCCTCCCTGTGAGACTCACGAGACCGGAACCACAAACACAGCAACAACATCAGGAGTTGGAGGCCTCAGACAGGTGAGATACCTGATGCAGTAACAGAATCTTCATTATTAGGGTTATAGAGCAGGTGATTCTCCTCGTGAAAGTTTGGGTATAACATTTTTGAATGTGTACTTTTAAGGTTTGTTCAAATCCTCCATGTGAAACTCATGAGACTGGAACCACCAACACAGCGACAACATCAGGAGTTGGAGGCCTCAGACAGGTGAGATACCTGATGCAGTAACAGAATCTTCATTATTAGGGTTATAGAGCAGGTGATTCTCCTCGTGAAAGTTTGGGTATAACATTTTTGAATGTGTACTTTTAAGGTTTGTTCAAATCCTCCATGTGAAACTCACGAGACTGGAACCCCCAACACAGCCACAACATCAGGAGCTGGAGGACTCAGACAGGTGAGATACCTGATGCAGTAACAGGTTCTTTATTGTTAGGGTTATAGAGCAGGTGAATCTCCTCGTGAAAGTTTGGGTATAACATTTTTGAATGTGTACTTTTAAGGTTTGTTCAAATCCTCCATGTGAAACTCACGAGACTGGAACCACCAACACAGCCACAACATCAGGAGCTGGAGGACTCAGACAGGTGAGGCCACAGGTGAAAGTACAGTATGTCCCCCACAAGTTGATGTGTGTTCTCAACATTGAATTCAATGTTGCCTTTGTGAATTCACCAGGTTTGTTCAAACCCTCCATGTGAGACTCATGAGACTGGGACTACAAATACAGCAACCACAGCTACAGGTAAACCTGGTTAGTCTTCATGTCCTGGAACAAATTTCTTATGCAAGCTGCAGTGTTTTGGAAACTCGGTGCCTTCTTGTTTTTTGTTTATTTTGTCGCTGTTGAAATGATCACGTTAATTGCATTAATTAAAGATTAATTGAGAGCTGATTAATTTTTTAACATTCTTTAATGAATGGGTAGAATGAGGCATACTGTATATCCAATATTTCAACAATGTTCCACAGTTCTCTTATCATTTCTCTTATACATTATTTGCACACACTGCTTAATCCAGCAGAGGCTTCAACATACCGGTCAGATGTATTAGACCAGTCTCATCGAGCACAGTGCAATAAAGAGGCTACAGCTGACAAGCTGACTGACGTTGTTGAGGACAACAACTCCACAGTAACAACTGTGGATTGTTTTTTTTTTATTCCTGTGCCTCATAATCCTGGCTTGTGGAATGTGTTGAGAGTCGCTTTCAAATTTCAGTGAAGCCGTACATGTACATAATGACTACATATATTTTGTAAAGGAAAAAAAAAAACACGTTTCTGTCATATTTGGAAATGCCAATTTACCCTATTATGACAGACAATGTGTATTCCTTAATTTTCCGAAGGGATTAATAACTACCTATCTATCTATTTACCTGTGAATGTGATCAGTTGTGATTATTCATAGCAATCCACAGCACATCTGTGATTAATCTGAAATTAACTTAAATTGTTTTCCAGCTCAGCCAGGTGGAGGTGTTCTACAGGAGGACACGACAGGTCCATCTTCTGATCAAGCATCATCCACAATTGCCGGTCAATGCAGGGCTGTGACCACTGTGACACAGGCCACACCCACCCCTGGACCCTCCATACCTGTGAGAAAAAATATGATGAACAGCATATTAACACACAGTAACATAAGAAATGGGTAACTTGGAAATATATTGTGCGTGTCAGCAGGAGATCACATCATTGGTTCGTGAAGAGAGAGAACAGTCTTCAGAGGCAGAAGTTGTAGCAGTGATGACACCGTCTGCAGAGGAGGAGGAGGAACAGGCACAGGGCAGTACAGTGATGATGTCATCAGAAGCAACCATGCTACAGGTTCAGATGGAGAGCAATGACACAGCGGTGGCCACACAGGTGACATGCACTGTTGCCACAGATAATCTTACAGTCAACCCACGACTTTGTCTCACTTTGACCTCCTGCTTCTCAGATGGAGACGTCAGACAGTGGCCTCCCTCAAGAGCTTATGTCTTCAGAAGGAGATGACAGCTCTGCAACAACAACACTAATGGTGACAGGACTGACGGCCGATCAGTTGACTCTTAGTGGAGATGCAGCTCAGCAGGCAACAATTCAGGCTGTGCTGCAGGCTGCAGGTCACATGATTAACAGAAACAATCCCACACTAACACACTCAAACCTTACTAAGTCAGCAATATGACAGATATTTAAGGTTAAGGTCTTTCCACCACTGTGAAATGTCAGGTTTTTGAATGACAGATTCAGCTCTAGACATCAAACATAGGTAGTAAAAGAAAAGAAAAGATTCAGACAAAAATGATATGTACACACACATATATGTATATGTGTGTCATTATCAATGGTATGGGTTGCTGATAGATTGCGATTGATAATGGGCTCATTTCTATCACCTGAAGCAAATAAAATGGTCAGTTATTGTGCCATAGCCGAAGCCAATATATGAGCTAAAACAGCTAACTGCTTCTAACATAACATGTAGGGATACAGCGAATATTTGGTCACGTAATTTTTTTGAAGAAAAAAAAACAAACCCAAAAGTGCGTTTTTGGTATTAGGCCAATAGACTTTTGTCACCGAACCAACACGGCTGAAACAGGATATTGTGATGACTCAAACAAAAACCACAGACCTCTGTACTTAATCACGGCTCTATTTCGTGTTTTACATATGTGGTAATTAGGCAGTGCGCTTGTGGAACCATCCAGGCCACGATGGGTATGGAAAACCTGTTTGGAGACAGTGAAATGCACAGCGCAGAAAAAAAGAGCAGAAATTGCGACTAAAAGCAATCCTTGTTTTGAAAAAGTTTGTTGTAGGCCTACAGAGAAATTGTTCTGAAAGCACTAATGTAGTAGTCCTACAAAGAAAATTTGAATATTTGACATTTGACAAAAATGTATTTTTTTTATTGAGAAAACCTATTTTAATTTTACGATCCTTCTCATCATTTATTTATTGTACAGTACACGAGTAGGATCAAGTTAAACATTTCATTTTTAATTATATTTAATATTGTGCATTGTTGGAATGTGCTAAATAATTACTTGCATAATTGTATTAATAGATTTTTCCTTGAAGCTTCAATATTAATTTATGCATTTGGAACGCCTTGATTTTAGTGAGGTTAGTACACAGTAATAGCTATAAATTCAATGGTACTTATAACTGGCGTAATAATGTTTCGGTTTTCGGCCTTGTATTCCTCATTATCAGTTTTTCGTTTCAGCCAAGAGTTTTCATTTCAGTGCATTCCTATTAACATGTCTTTACCAGTCTGGATGTTTTAACTATGTTTTAGGACACTAGAACTTTTGGTCTTCCAGTAATAGTATACACCACGTTTAGTCAAACTTTAAGATGCGTTACATTCTTTACAAAAAAAACATCTGATAATAGCCAGAACAAGTATGTCTAAACCTCAGATTTACATAGACAAAAAGCTGTATGCCAGTCCTTTGATTTCAACAGAAAATAATACATTAATTGTTATAGGCATTGGTCATGAAGACCAGAAAAATTATTAATTTTTTTTCCATATTTTCCATAACTATTTTATCACACAAATGCGAAATCATCTGTCCAGATGTATTCATGTCTCTCTCTGTCTCTCTCTCTCTTTCTCTCTCTCTCTCTCTCATGCACTCTCTCTCTCTTTAGGAGAAGGAGATATTTCTGTGGACCAGTCAATCCCTATTGTTCTGACTCAGCAGGACCTCGCTGCCTTGGTGCAGCAGCAGCTTCAAGATGTCCACAGTCGAATGGAACCTGAACCCGAACCTGAACCCAGTAATGTCCCCACAGGTAAAAACTAAACTAAAGTCCCCAACCTTCAGCATCATTAGTGTCCCAGTCTCTGATCCTTGCCCTTTTTATTCCCAGAGGGTCTTGCACCGGCTGACAGTCTCAACGACCCCACAGCGGATGGCAATGCTCATGAGCTGACACCTTCAGCAGTAACCAGTGCTGTCGCCCGATTGGCTAGTACATTCAGCCCTGCCCCTGCTTTGACAGCGGGACCAATTAAAATTCAGACTGCGACTTCGAGTGAGGGGACCAATGGGATTGCAACAACCACATCTGTGAGATGCACTAGCCTGATTATAAATGAATATACAATTTTAGTGAATAAAAGCGAAATTTTTTTTTACACGTTCTAACAACATGCTAACCTGAAATGGTTTGTGCAGACGAAGTCATCAAGTGAAGACAGTCAATGGTTTGATGTTGGCATTGTTAAAGTCACCAACATGGTTGTTTCTCACTACTTCGTTCCCTATGATGGAAATGCGGTTGATGTAAGTTATTAACTATTAACAGTATATAAACAGTGTGTTTTTTAATTGAAAGTTTCTTTTAAAACTAAGGGAGAGAAAAAACTCACCCCAAACCACATTGCTTTTAGTTGATTGTTTTAATTTAGTTGTTGATTTTCTTCTGGATTCACGCAGGATGACTCAGGCATCCCTCCTGACTACAACCAAATGAAGAAGGTGGAGCTTCAGCCAGGAACTGCCTACAAGTTCCGTGTGGCAGGAATAAATATCTGTGGCCGTGGTGCCTACTCCGAGGTTTCAGCATTTAAAACGTGTTTGCCTGGTTTCCCAGGAGCCCCCAGTGCCATTAAAATCAGCAAGGTGAGTCACCTCTAGTCAGGAGGCGGAAGAATAGTGAAAAATTAAAATCATTTTAATTATGAAATTAAAATAATTTCATTATTAAGTTAAAATAAAAAGCAAACATTTGTGTATCTCACAAGGATATTTGTCCTTACATGCCTCTACATGCAAATAATAGTTAAAAAAATGACCTAAAAACTTCCACAACAAAATGCTTATGTCTCAATGGCAATGAAATTAAGGTAAAACACTACACCTACAAGTTCTTAAATTACTTGTGTAAAAAAAAGCACAGATGCATGGCAAGACAAAAGTAATACATTTCGGTGTGTTTTTATTATTGCTAGAATAGTATATTTTTTCAAATAAACAATTTTTCATTGAAGTACATATAATATCTCCCAATGTGAATAACTTGTTTTGGCTTCAGCTAACTGTTTTTTTAGGTCATAATTTACACTTTTTCTCCATTAAATTTACAGAATCTGGATGGTGCCCAGCTGACCTGGGAGCCTCCAGCTGTCACTTCAGGCCGAATCGTAGAGTACTCTGTTTACCTGGCCATCCACTCCAGCCAGGCAACTCCAGCCTCCAGCTCAGGCCCCGCACAGCTTGCCTTTATGCGGGTTTATTGTGGTGCCAGCCCATCCTGCTTAGTCCAGGCTTCCAGCCTAGCTAAGGCCCACATAGACCATACTACCAAATCTGCCATCATCTTCCGCATCGCTGCCCGCAACCAGAAGGGCTATGGCCCGGCCACACAAGTCCGGTGGCTTCAAGGTAAGGGACAAAAAGATGAATAAATATGGAAAAATAAATCAGAAGATATGACGAGAATGTTTTTACTCCCTGTAGAAACGGGTAAAGACACGAAAATGGCCGTTAAGAGGGGAGGGACTTCTGATATGTAAGACCTTGATTTTACATTTTTTTAATACATATATTTTTTTTTGTTTATTTGTGTTTTTCTCAGCATTACTTTAAAACATTACCTTTTATCCTCAGGAAATCTGTTGGACCAAAGAAGTTCAGGACTGACCAGTAAGAGTATAACATGGTGATTGTGATTGACTACCAGAGCCATGAAGAAGTGAGGCTTTGGCTACATCTTGTCCCAGGAGGGAACAGCGAAATAAAAGACTTTCGGTATATTTGTATATTATTGACTAATTCGGGTCTAGATGTTTTGATGGAATGCAAAGGGTAGAGTTTGGATGTGATGATATAACAGGAACGATAAAGTTTAGTTAGTGGAACGTCGGAAAAATCATTGCTTTGAAGTACATGTTTTTGGCTTATGTCAGGAAGGACCAGGGGAGGATTGATCGTGCTCTCATGTAGATATTTTTCTTTGTACTTCTTTTTTATATATATATTAAACATCCATAAGAAGAACGTTTTCTGAATTTTCTGATGTTAGGCAACAATCGACTGATTGTCAGTTGCTCTGTTCTCTGAAACAATAAAGATTTTTAGAGCATTTGTTTTACAAACGTGTTCAGTCTGCTTCCTGGCAGCAGTAGTTCTTGGTTAGCACTAGGTTAAACCATCTAAGCAACAATAAGAGATGAGAAGTGGTTTAGAGATATAGGTTGGAAGAAACTGTATAGAACCAATATGAGATTAGGCCCAATAGTGGAACAGTTGATGATATGCCTGTAAATGACCACGTTTAGACTAGACCTGCCAAAAGAAAATCTGAAAACCAACATTTGGCTGAGGAATGTGCAATGAAGATTGCTTCTATTTTTGGTTACATCTCTAAAAATATTCTACTTGCTGAAAGTTCTAATGGAAATAATTGCAAATTTAAAATGGTCAGACAATGTGCTGGCGTGTACTTTTAAATCCACGAGACCTAGCTGACCCATACGACCGAAGAAGGAATAGCTTCTTTTAAAAGTATCTATTTGTCTATTATAAATTATATTCAATCAGAAACATCGATTCTGGACGATCCACTGACGTCACCAAGCACGCGATCGAGGACCGAGGACGTGAACTATGCGCGTCCGTGATGCGCGCGTCCAAGGACGCGCCTCGTGGTGCTGATGTTGTGAACACAGACGGGATGAATGAGGTGAAGATGAGAGACACTGATCGATGGATCTTGACTGCTGCAGCCGATCATCGTTGAGGCTACGCTAAGCGACAATCAGCGTTTTCAACTACTTAAACTAATCATCCTTACCTATCACACCTGCGGCGTGACGACAATCATTATCATCCTTACCTATCACACCTGCGGCGCGACGACAATCATTTGGTTCTGGTTCTGGATCTGGATCTGGGTCCTTTAAGGTAAGACGCCACATAGACCGTCACAACAGGCCAAAAGAATGCGTATGAAATTAAACACCGATACTTGGCTGTTGTTCGTGACCTGTATAATTTAGCTGCTTTAAAGTTAGTATTCAAATGCGTCTGGTTCATTAGTGTCAGCAGTTTTGCGCATGGCCAACTTGGGTCAAGACAGTAGTAACAGAACCACCCATTTTTCATTAGAATCAATATTTTACTTAAAAAAAAAAAAAGTAAAATTACTCCTCCCACGCGAGTAGCTTGACTAATGGAGTTATCTGGTCCGTGGTAATGATTTGGTTTGTGGCAATGCTAGTGGTTCTAGAACCACACCCAACTGAACTTTACTCTGGATAGGTCGTTCTTGCGATTAAACATGCCCTTCTTAATGAAATATAGCGAATGTAGGGATACAATAACATAAATTAGGATCAAAATATTTAAAGACAAATAGTGCCCCACAAAACATGTTTTTTCAAAGTTTGGACTAGTGCAAACAGCAACATTTCAAAGCTAATATCTAAAATATGCCCCATATATCTGGTGACACACACCAGACCACATCCAAGGAGTTAAAATGTCCTTTTTTTTCAAAATTATCTGAATTTTGAAACCAAGGAGTATTATTGTATCAAATGTATCTGTACAAAAGCATGCAGTTCCTATAGGGAAGAAGTACTAATGAATTTGATTCTGTCAACTTTTTGTTCCTCTTGTGTAAACACGGTTCCTTTTCCCTTCTGTACTACCTGGAATTAGGGTTTTTTTTTTTGGGTTTTTTTTGTTTTTTACAGAACAGCCAAATACTTCTGATACAGGTCTTACAATGAAATTGTAGATTGTTCTGGCTTTGAATACTGCTGTTGGAACCCACGTTGTTCGGCTATCTCTTTAGTTTTTATTTATATGTAGTGTGTTGAAAGTGCTATGGCCAGAGCAGGTGATAAACAAGTAGGCTTGCTTTAAAGTGAAGGAGGAAGTAGATTTATGATTTGTCCCACATATAACCACGGTAAAATGTAGCCCTGAATTACTCATTTGATTGTGCATATTAAACATTGAAGGTAATAATTGCATATAAAGATATCTTTTTAACTGCCATAAAAAGAAAAACACACATGAGACGTCACTAAGGATGGAAATTATTTAGGCCAAAGCAGAATTTACCAAAGATTGTAACCGGTACGGTCAAATATGTGGATACAGTTGTTGTTTAGTTGTACCTAATCTGCAAAAATAGTTTTCGTCTCTGTTTAACAATTGTAATTACTTCACACTTGCTGCGCTTAAACAAATTGACCGATCTCATGGCTTCGTGCTTCATGCACACTTCACATTAGCCGGAGCTGTTGCTATAGAGACACCATAGTCAATCTTGCTGCTCTTGTTTCCTCAATTGCACAGCAACAGGGTCCAAGAGCTCCGTGAATGGCTGGTTGTTAACAGAGCGGTGCATTCTGGGAGACGCAGTATACACAGTTCATTAAGAAGGAAGCTAGCCTACTTACCTGTGAGGTCATTGTTATGGTGATGATGTCACAGACTGAAACGCGCAGATCTGCAGAAGGGTAAGGTTATTGGCTGTCTGGCTCCAGCTGTCAGCCAATCACAGACAAGTATTCACAGTTCAGATTTTCCACAGTGTTGCTATGCGGAGAACAGCCTGACCTACATTTTTATGCATACACAGAAAAGTGTGCTTGTCTATCAGTGTGTTGTTTCTTCTCTGTAAACATTTTTCTGTGACAATTCTTTCCCGTTTATTTGTTTCCAACGGGAGTTATTTGTCACGCACTATTTTCTAACACACAACATCAGTTAATTTCATCGTACTACGACTCTCTATTACTGTATTACTGCATAGTTTAAACTTTATAGTTTTATTTATAACAAGTTAAATTCTTATTTTTCTTGCTGGTTTATTTTCATTATATTAGCATACAACACTTTAACCATAGGGTGGCAGCATAAACTAGCATGACAGGAGTGTAATAGTACAGGAAAACCACGTTTCAGTGCATCCCTCGATATATATATATATATAATTATATAAATATATACTCGGATGATACATACTAATTATACTTTATCCTACCATCTCTGCCTGACAATTGGGTGTAATAATTACATAGTAATTAATTCAATTACTATGAAATAAGTATGAAGCTATTATGACAATATGTAGGTCAAACCAAATTTGAATATGTATATTCGAGACTCAATATTAAATGACCAAATTATTTTATGGCAATAACTTTGATTAATGCAAATGGAGCAGCATATCCATCTTGATATTTGAAGGCAAACACAATTATAACACTTTTTGATGCATGATCATAACTCCTTGCTCACAAATATATTTTAGTAAAAAAAAACAAACAACAAAAACAAACAAACAAACCCCAAAACATTTAACAACGTAGACTGAAAAGGTAGTACTTGTCGCTCTCTCTCTCCCTCTCTCTCTCTCTCTCTCGCTCTCTCTTCTTCTCTTTCTTTCCTTAATGAATACTCTTGACCTGAATTAGCCTGCACTGCTCTGTGAGGAAAGCCACTTGAAAAGAGATTGGATTGTTGTTGTTTTTTTTACTCCACTTCATTTGACATGCTATGATGGCTCTAAGTTGGTCTGACTTTATAAATCTGATCTGACATCTTAACAAGTAAGAAGAGAGGATGAATTGAAGTAAAGGGTGAAAAATGTCACAACATTTGTGGTGAAATTTTAGGTGACAGAGACAGCAGTTTTGTATCACAACCATACAATATGCTCAAGCACAGTTAGCCCCAGAGCTAATGTTAGCTTCTGCCCATTTTACAGGCACTGTTCCGAAAAAAGCATTTATTTAATTAAAAGTAAAAATAAATAAAAAAAAATCTTTCTGTGTAAATAACCCTTGTTACAACGTGGACACCTGCGGCTTATAGAGAAGTTATTTTTATAGTTATATAATATTTAGTAGGTGCAGCTTAATTTCAGGTGCACTCAATGGTCTGGAAATGACAGTATATTTTGTAAATGATACCATAGTATGTATTTTTCATGAATAAGTTATACATTTAATTCGTTTTTAACTGTGAATACAGCAAATGTTGTTTATATGAACGTATAGAATGCAATTCACCCATGAGAGCTTGCTTTTACTTCGGAGGTAAATTGAGATGCAAATAGACTAGCCATCAGATTTGTATACGCGTGTACCAATCTGACGGGGCATTTACGAATCTGACAGAACACTGAAAGTAGCCTTCTAATACTTCTACTACTACGTTCCACTTCAAACATGCAGAGTGAACAGGTGGGATTGGCTCCACCTACTCCCTACACAAGGCAAACTAAGGCCCCGGGGCCGGATGCTGCCTGTTCAGTTTTTTTAATCCTGCCCGCCAAACTTTTCCATATCATTTGTATAATCATTATACTTATGCCTTTCCCCTGCAATACCCATGTTTCCCCAATAGATGGCGTAAAATGATCAAATCAAACGCTCCATCTATCTGCTCCTGACCCACAATTGTGGCCAACGAGTCAAAAAGTTCAATCTGATCAAATAAATTCTTCTTAAACATTCTTTTATCAATAGTATGGCTGTCACAAAAACACACACACCATTTCACATTCATTGCAGGAACTGGTTATTTAGGATTTTATTTTGAAACTAGATTTATTTTGAAGGGTTGAAGCTGGTCTGGGCGTGTGTGTATAGTGGAGCAGCTACACTGCTGGTCAAATAAACTCTGGGCTGTAAAACGTGCTCTCAGGGCATGGATTTGACTTTTTCGCTAGTAATTTTTCATTTGCGTCCACTGGTCTGGTCAACATTAACAGGTATTTATGTTGTATTTATGTCAGTGTGCGTGTGTGTATGTGTATGTGTGTCCTGTATTATGTAGTAGGATATATAGTGCTATCCTTGTAAGATTTTCATAGACCTTTTAAAATGTGACCTTTCAGAAAAACGTGCTTCCATTAAAACATTTCGGTTGTGCTTTTTCAAACAAAACACGTTACACTTTTTTTTTCTTTTTTTTTTACATTAACACCTCAAGATTTGCTTTTTGCGGTGAACAAAACTCACTTTTGTTTGGGCATCGAACCTGTGACGTGACGCTCAAATTTAGAATCATTGTTCTCCAATCATCAAAGGTTTTACATTTCAGCCGTTTTAAGTGTTTTGAACACATTTTTATCAAAATGTACCGTTTTGTTAAATTGAAACATGTTGGGGATAACGTTAAGCTGTGTTGTAGGCATTATTTATGTGCATGATTATAAAATAAGGTTAGACCCCTTTTTTAATTTTAGTTGAGAAATTAAACAACACCTACATAGTTCAATCTGTTGTTTTAGTCTTTCTGTGGCGTTGGAGCGTTATGCTAATGATGGGAATAAATTCATTTATTTTGCTGTTAGCTTATGTTGTTTTAACTTGCCATGTTATTCCACAAAAATCTATGCGCTCTTGTTGTAACATTACAACTTGATGTAATAAGATTAACAGGCAACTTAGCAAGACGCCATGTCAGCATGTCTATTCCAACGAAAGTGGAAGTTATGGAGATGTAATTATCATGATTTTGAATCAGTGCAGTCTCTGGTGTTTTAACCTTTCACTCACTAGTCTTAGGCACACTCAGCTTTTTAATCCGGCTCTCCAAACTTGTATTTATTTATATTGTCCTTGTACTTCAGCTTTTTAATCCGGCTCTCCAAACTTTTCCAAAATATGTAAAATATGTACTACTGCCTTTTTCCTGCAGTACCCACGTTTTCCCAACAGATGGCATAGAAAATGATAAAAGCATTTTGGCATTTCAGCCTTCATGCATATCATTTATCTTAATTCACATGAACGCTCCATCTATCTACTCCTGACCTGCCTCCCCCCCCCCCCCTTCAATTTAAGGACAACCGTGGTCCGTGAGTCAAAAAGTTTGACCACGCCTGCACTAGTTAATGGTACAGAGTAGGAATTTCACGATTACTCAATATCAAAACTAATTGCGATGAAAAGCGCTACGCTGAATGTACCGTAACGTTTCCTGAGTACCGACAGAAAAATATATGCCAGAACTATAGTTAAGCATATCTTTTTTGTTTTTATATTGATGCCGGACTCTCTCTTTCTCTCTCTCTCTCTCACTCTCTCTCTTTCTTCGATTGTCTTGGTTTCTTATAGTATCGGAGCGTAGTTAGTAATGTAATTATATTTTGAGATTCAAGATAAGTCATTACAGTCCAAACAAAGCTCAACTTGGTGTTGGGAATGTATTTAGATATAAAATGCACAACAGACAGGAGTCACACTTAATCCCATGTGTATTTTTTTTTTGTTAAGATGAACCACATTATCTCTTTGTCCTTACAATATATTCTGCCTGTGGAAAAGCAGAAAAGTCCATTAATGAAAGTAAGTACTTTTCTACACTTTGGTCAAAACCCAAACTTCCTGACAATATGTTGTCCCCTCCCACCCTCAACTCTTCCGTCCTGTTTCCTCTCAGACTCTCTATTTCCTGTTCTCAGGGACACGCTCTAGCTTGTCCTCAGTCCACAGAGAGGACTTGCCCGCAGGAACACTGACACAAAAATGGGTTCATGTGATGTAAACATGTTCTGAAACAGGTTTTGTTCATGTTCCTGACCTTAAGAATCCACACGTCCATATTTTAAATGTTAGTCTGGATGCAGACTGACATGGAAACACAGGAAGAAAAACACACATTATGACAAAAACAAAGGCAGACAAAATTACAAAGACACAAAGGTACAGGCTGAGACAAAAACACAATAGGACACACCTCAAATCTCCAGAGGAAAAATCTGTTAGAATGCTGCCGCTCTACGGCCATACTTCATTAACCTCACTCAATGCGCATTTGATCCATATCACAAGAGACTGTTTCAGAATTCATTGAACTACCATCTGAGGCAGGATCTGAGTATGTGAGTATGGAATACTAAAGCTGCCGGGTGTTCCATTGTTTCAGTGGCCGGAGGTTGAACTAGGCTGATGACACCATCGCCAAGCCACACATCACCAAGTGCAATGCAAAGTGTCGGATGCAATGGTGTAAAGCACGCCGCCACTGGCCTCTAGAGCAGTGGAGACGCGTTCTCTGGAGTGATGAATCACGCTTTTCCATCTGGCAATCTGATGGACGAGTCTGGGTTTGGAGGTTGCCAGGAGAACGGTACATTTCAGACTGCATTGTGCCGACTGTGAAATTTGGTGGAGGAGGAATTATGGTGTGGGGTTGTTTTTCAGGAGCTGGGCTTGGCCCCTTAGTTCCAGTGAAAGGAACTTTGAATGCTTCAGGATACCAAAACATTTTGGACAATTCCATGCTCCCAACCTTGTGGGAACAGTTTGGAGCTGGGCCCCTTCCTCTTCCAACATGACTGTGCACCAGTGCACAAAGCAAGGTCCCTAAAGACATGGATGACAGAGTCCTGTGTGGATGAACTTGACTGGCCTGCACAGAGTCCTGACCTGAACCCGATAGAACACCTTTGGGATGAATTAGAATTAATTAATTACAACAAATGTGTTGATGTGTGATATTTGGGCAATATTTATGTAAGCACTAAAAATATATATATCATAGCAGTCTAGTTATTAAGGTTATCTCGAATTTCAACAAAAATTTCACATTAAAGATTTGTTTCATTCATTTGTCTGATTGGATTTCTGTTCATTCAAGGCCAGTACGATAAAGCGCTGAAATACTTCAAGTAATTCAGTAATGTTTCAGGTGGCACAAAACAAGTTGTTATTTTAACATTAGCTATCAATATTGGCTCAGACGTTTCACAATCGTTGCATCTCTACGTTAGACTTAATTATACACGTAGACACGTATCCACAGGTATATTTTTGCTCTGTTTCGGTTTTAAAGTCGCAATTGGTTTTAACAGGATTAAACTACATATTTAGCTACATTTTTCCATCCATTTTGACTGCAGTTATAATGTAGTTCTGTAACATAATTCTGATTATGTGCGCAAAGTAGAGTTTCGTTCTTATGATCCAGTTGTCTTTATTGATATTCCCCCTTTTTTTAATCTATTTTCTCTTCTTTTTTTATCCGTGGATTTTTTTAAATCGGAGAAGCAAAAATGACGCTCTGCCTAACACGCAGGGACAGATTACATGCTGTAATCAACTGCACGAAGAGCTGTTTGCACGGTTCCTACATGGATTTGTTGAATGTAACTGTGCGTTTTGTACAGTTTTACAGCAATTTCAAATTGCTTCAAATTTTGCTTCCAAATATAAGAAATCAAGTCTCCTTCTGTGCCACGAGCAAATGGACTAAAATTTGCACAGCTGATAAATGAATTTGTTGATTGTCTCTTGATTATGTAATTGTGTGTTTTACACCTATTGTTAAAAAAGATAAAAGTCATTTTAATAATCAAAAATCTTCTTCTTCTTCTTCTCTCTCTTCTTTCTCTCTTAGGTTCAAAGACATTAAAAAGGATTAAAGAAATGTGAGTAAATGTGCCAAAAGAATAACCAAGTCACAAGGTAAGAATGGTGGTGTTAGGGTTAGGGTTAGGAAAATAGAGATTCTGTAATGTAAGAGTTACTGCTTGATGCCCTGTTCTGGGCAATATTTATGTAAGCACTAAAAAAATATATATAAATCATAGCAGTCTAGTTATTAAGGTTATCTCGAATTTCAACAAAAATTTCACATTAAAGATTTGTTTCATTCATTTGTCTGATTGGATTTCTGTTCATTCAAGGCCAGTACGATAAAGCGCTGAAATACTTCAAGTAATTCAGTAATGTTTCAGGTGGCACAAAACAAGTTGTTATTTTAACATTAGCTATCAATATTGGCTCAGACGTTTCACAATCGTTGCATCTCTACGTTAGACTTAATTATACACGTAGACACGTATCCACAGGTATATTTTTGCTCTGTTTCGGTTTTAAAGTCGCAATTGGTTTTAACAGGATTAAACTACAAATTTAGCTACATCTTTCCATTCATTTTGACTGCAGTTATAATAACGTGTAGTTCTGTAATATAATTCTGGTTACGTGCGCAAAGTAGAGTTTCGTTCTTATGATCCAGTTGTCTTTATTGATATTCCCCCTTTTTTTAATCTATTTTCTCTTCTTTTTTTATCCGTGGATTTTTTTAAATCGGAGAAGCAAAAATGTCGCTCTGCCTAACACGCAGGGACAGATTACATGCTGTAATCAACTGCACGAAGAGCTGTTTGCACGGTTCCTACATGGATTTGTTGAATGTAACTGTGCGTTTTGTACAGTTTTACAGCAATTTCAAATTGCTTCAAATTTTGCTTTCAAATTTCAGAAATCAAGTCTCCTTCTGTGCCACGAGCAATGAACTAAATGTTCTGTATTTTACACCTATTGTTAAAAAAAGAGTTATTTTAATAATCAAAAATCTTCTTCTTCTTCTTCTCTCTCTTCTTTCTCTCTTAGGTTCAAAGACATTAAAAAGGATTAAAGAAATGTGAGTAAATGTGCCAAAAAAATAACCAAGTCACAAGGTAAGAATGGTGGTGTTAGGAGGAAAATAGAGATTCTGTAATGTCAGAGTTACTGCTTCATGCCCTGTTTTCCTGTTCAATAGGTGCGCGAGCAGGTGTGGTATAGAAAACACGGCTCCAACAGTAAGGAAGGAGGAGACGGGGTTACCTGGGAGTTGCCAGCCATGGAGGTCAAAGATCAGTTCATCTCAGCACTAGGTCAGGTTACACAACAAGGAATCAACATTTGGCATATGTTTTTGTGGAACCTAATAGTTCTTATTTTCAAGGAACTAAATGATTTTTGTTGACAGCTGGTCCTCACTTAACGACGGACTTATGTTTCCAAACTCGCATGTGAGAAGCCATACCATGGTTGGCGAAGTGGGAGATGCTGGTGCTAAAAGTGAAAGTGAAAGTGAACTACAGTGGAACTTCGAGATATGAGCGTAATCCGTTCCAGGACCGAGCTCGTAACTCGAAGTGCCCGTATCTCGAATCATTTTTTTCCCCATAAGAAAAACAGGAAAAAAAAAAAACAACTTAATGAACTTAGCTTAACTTAGCTTACGTATTTTTTTTTTTTTTTTTTACTTTTCTATTATTTTAATTATTTTTGCTTTTTTTCCGATTTGTATCCTTTCTTTAGCGGGCACCACACTCACACATATTTATCGACAATTTCATGCTTTATTTCCCCTGGTCGTCATGTGGTTCTTCTTCTCACTACCGTCCTTCCCGCTCACTTTCTTAGGACGCATCACTACCATCCTTACCGCTCACTTTCTTAGGACGCATCACTTTTGTGAAGAATAATAGACAAAATAGAGAGAAAAATCATATAAATAACGCAAACACAATACGGAAGACTCGCGGGAGATGAGTACGGACGTCGACGAACACGTGAAGCGAACGAGCGAGGCGGCGCGAGGAGGCTGCTCCGAGTGCTCGGCCACCGGGCGTCGACATCTGTAAGCGGGCTCGTATCTCGAGTCTTTATTCGTATCTCGAAGCAAAATTTTGCCTGATGGCTTGCTCATACCTCGAAATACTCGTATGTCGAGGTGCTCGTATCTCCAGGTTCCACTGTACTGACCAGCGGGAAAGGGGAAATTTTGGAGAGAGAGTAAGAGATAATAAATAAATAATAGTAGTAAAGGAGTAAAGGAGTAAGTAGGAAGTAACAAATAGTCTGGTTCTGGGATTGTGCCATAGGGTTGGAAAGAAAGGGAGAGAGGGATAGGCTGAGAGAGTGGAGGGGTACAGGAGAAAAAGAGAGAGAGAGAGAGAGAGAGAGACAGACAAAAACCAAAGTGAACAGTGGGCCATGCTGAGAGCACCTCAGTGGTAACTTGGCAGCTGGTGGACTCGATCCTGAAACCTTCCGGACCCAAGTCCGCCTTAGCCACCACTGCCCCAAAAATGAGGAACGTTTCACAAATGTGCGCGTCATGGAGTAGAGTATTGCCCTGATGTGAGTATTGCAAGCATTAATAAAACAGTGAAAGTCCCCTCTTGTCCCCTAAGGACACCTCACAGTGGGGGTGTCCCACATGGGGAGGAGGGTGCGCCCCACTATTTGAGAAGCACTGTCTTAGAGGGAACTGGAAGGTGTAGGTTCAGTTGATTACTGTTCTTTATTTTTATGTGCTTAGACTCTCTTACCTGTGCGGAGGGCAAGCAAAGGGAAAGAATGGCGGAGCTGCAGGAGAGGAGGCGCAGCCTGCAGGCCTTGCTCAGCGCTCGATTGGCCGAGCTAAAACGCATCTGTCTGCAGGAGGCGGTGGGTAGTGTTGGACTTTGACTCCTCCCACAAACAAAACTTGGAATAAGCTTTAATGTTACCGTATCCTCTGATTGGTCAGGAGCTGACAGGCACAGTGCCCGATGACTTATCTCTGGAGAATGGAGAGAAACCACTGTTTGTCCGACGGAGGGGTGGAGCTTACTGCCAAGGAAACAGAAAGTCCAGGGCTGAGGTGAACAGCTGATTTTTAAATCCCTGTTTTGGGGGAATCTGTGTGTTAGAGGCTTTCCTGACTGTGTATGTGTGTTTTTAGGAAGAGGAATGTCAGCTTTCCAGGTTGAAGAAAACCTTGTTCAGCGGAACCCTGAGGAAACACAGTGATTCGGAACACAGCACACACACGCTGACACACACGCACCATGGCAAACGAACTGTACACAGAGGTTGTCACACAGGTAAAACACACAATAACACACCCAGCACTGCCAAACGTTCAGGAACGTCGTTGCTTCCTCTCTTTGTTCTTTGCGTGTGTGTTTCCAGATGACACAGTGAGGTCAGAAAGCAGCTCCGTGGCAGATTCTACAGGGAACAACAATGGTAAAACGCACACATCCCACATTTATCATAACGTGTTGGATGGATATACACTGCCTGGCCCAAAAAAAAAAAAGTCGCCACCAAAAAAAAAAGGGTCATACACTCTAATATTTCGTCGGACCGCCTTTAGCTTTGATTACAGCACGCATTCGCTGTGGCTTTGTCTCGATAAGCTTCTGCAATGTCACAAGATTGATTTCCATCCAGCGTTGCATTCATTTTTCACCAAGATCTTGCATTGATGATGGTAGAGTCTGACCGCTGCGCAAAGCCTTCTCCAGCACATCCCAAAGATTCTCAATGGGGTTAAGGTCTGGACTCTGTGGTGGCCACAATCCATGTGTGAAAATGATGTCTCATGCTCCCTGAACC